AAATATTTAAGAGGCCGTGATGTGTGTGTGTGTACTTTTGTTTAGACAGTTGATTATACATAATGTAATGGCTCAAATAGAATGGATAGTTAGTCTGATATAATAAGTGCACCACGGCAAAGGTCGATTACAGCAACTCGATACATGAAATCGTCGTGCGCAGTTATTTTGAGCAGTGGTGACTCTCAACTTTGTTTATCGTTTTGTATGTGCTTATATACCCAATGGTGGTCGCAGAGAGGTGTAGGAGAGTATTTTTAAGGATTTCGAAGTGTTTATCTGGAGAGCTTTGAGTCATATAAACAGGTTAGACTCATTTTGGTTCCCCAAAATGTTACTCATAGCTGAAACCATACAAAAAGTAAGTCAATTTCTAGGTTCCGCTAAACTCTGAATCATTTAAATGGTGGGGCTCATATAGAGAGAATCAAATAAACAGGTTTGACTGTAATAGGGGGACTCGAAGTTGCCCAATTAAGTGCTCACAATCTTGCAATGCTGCTGCTCATTTCCCTCGAGCTTTTCTGCTCATGGCTTACAATTTTGTCAGCCGCCTCCGGAGGTGGCTGCAGGGCTTCGCATTAACCATGTACCACTACAGGTAATACGGATGAATGGTGTGCATTATTATAGTAGCATGCTCCACAGAAACAGACAGGGTGTGTAGTAATACAGTACTACAGTAGTAGATACAGCAGCAGTCTAATGAGCTCCCAAAGATTTACTAGGATAAACTATAGTATTCATATAAGTGCGATTCACAGCTAGTAAGTACGAATTGAGAACTGACCGGATACGATTGATCTCGGAAGTAATTCGGCGGAGTTGGAAGTAGATGGGTGCTGCTTTGTAGTTTGCTGTTATACTGTTGCGTAGTCTACTGTAGAGTCGTGTGCATTTCGTAGAGAACTTAAATAATAATGAATGAAAGTATAGGATGGAGCGCGTTTCGGTGCCACGGGAGCCCAGATCGACAGCAGGAGTCCTATTCAAGCCCATTGCAAGCTAAAGTGTTGGGATTCAATGCCAGTTGCGGGCACTCTACGTACTAGTAGACATGGCCCCGTCTGTATTACGACCGTAATAATACAAACTACAACTATAGTAATGCAGCTAATACATAAGCCAGACAGTGGTGCGCAAAGTAGCAATACAGTAGGCATGGGGTGCTGTATTAATACCGTATTGAGTATTACCACATAATGCGAAGCCCTGGGTGGCTGATAAAATTGTAAGCACTCATTTTCGGGACAAAAATGTATATATCCCTCGCCCCCTCCATTGTTTTACTTTCCCCTTGCCGAGGCCAATTGAGGGTCGCCGGCGCGCGGCAATATTGTTGGCACCCACGCTGTGTAGGACGGCGTGCGAATCGATTACCTCCTTCGGAGTCACCTCCCCCTAAGTAAGGTGCGTAAACGCGTGTGTGGAGGCGTTGTCGTGCACTTAGCTAGGCAAGCGATGTGGTCTCGCATGCCCGACACGTCTATGTGTCCGAGTCGGGCCCAATTCCCACTAGGAGGGAACTCAAATGAAATCCTACGTCCTGTCTGTCGGTCATCAAGGGGCCCGCAATGTACTACTGTACTCCGAGGACCGCAGGGACCGACTGTATCCAATGCTCGGCCCCACGCTGCGAGTAGTGCAGCGAGCTCCGCGAGCGGAACGGGGGCGCCCTGTCATTGACTAAACCCCTCATACCCAGGCGAAGCGGCGCGCTGAGCTCTAGTCCAAAAAAGCTTACTACACTTCAGTGACTCCTGCAAGTCACGTCATTTGCAGGGGAGATCCCCCTTTACACTTAAGAGCCCTATTTTACTTTTCCGTCAGCTTTGAACACTCTCATTTTTTAGCTGCTCCACAACTTAGTTCTCAGATGAGACCGCGTCAAACGAAAAGGTGCTTACGAACCTAAGTACGAATCACGATTTAACCTCATCCATCGAAAGAGGCGAGTCTTGGGCTTCTTTTAAGCTGTCGAACACTCCGTAGTATTGAGAACTCGAGGAGTAACATCGGTCTGAAAAAAAAATCTCCATTTTCGGACCCGAAATCCCTGATGTTATTTGGAGCGCGACATATTGTATATTATTGGATATCTTGTGTTAAAAGCAATCGAATAAGAGTGTTTTTACGCGTTTTAAGAGTGGTTTTCACTTTCAAATTTTTGATGTCCGGTTATGTCCGAAATTTGATTGGTCAAATGGTGACTTAGCGTCTTTTTGTTTGACTTGGTCGGACTTTTTTGCGATAAGCTCTGCTGATACCGCAAGACTGTAGCGCTGAGTGCCTTTTGCGGTATCACGTACTGTGTGAGTTGTATGGTTATCTATGTATCCCACGGCAAGTTAGGGTTACAAGCCGGAGAAAGGGGGGAGGTGACAGCGATTTCCAGGATTTCACAAATTCGCCTCTACCGAACCTGGAGCCCAGGCAAGCCTGGGCTCATCGGAGAGCTAGCCTTGTCCTTTAGTCTTCCACGAGCCCAACTTCACTTAATGATATTTCGTGCAGCCTTCAGGCCGTTCCGTTTCCTAGAGCACTAGTTGGCGTTTTTGAGGGGAGCACTTATCCCGACCACCTGGTCGGGATAACCTGACTACCGGATAGTCAAAACGCCACCGATGCTTGAGCACGCTAATCGAAGCTTTGTATTGGGTGGTGGGTGGGGCTAGCCTAGAGATAGATAAGGAGAGCAAAAGGCGAATGTCGTCGATATTTTGCTCTTTTTTCTGCGGCGGAAATGCTTCGTCGACCGCAACATTTTGGTGCTGCACACGTTCCCTAGCTTTCGTTCAGGAATAACCACGCGTGTCGGAGTCACCCCAGTGAGGCGAAGCTCTCTATCAGCCAGTTAGACGATAAAGAGCACGTTCCCACCACGGAAACTGACAACGGACCTCTTTCGTAGCTGCCATCGTTTATGTCTTGTGATTTGGTCTCCGCCTTCGCATACACCGACATTGAACGAATCGTGTAACCTCTTCCTCAAAGACTTCTTGTAACGACCTCAGTGTCAATAAGAATACTAAAAAACACGAGACTGACATCACTAATTCATACACTGATGTAGGCTTCTCTTCGGAATGCCCCCGTTGTTTGGTTTGGCTAAAATGTGCGTGTATTCAGTGCAGCAGTTTTGAAGTTGGCTAAGTAGTTATTTGCATTTGTTGTGGTTTACACTGCTATCTACTCCCAATACTGCACGCTGTAACTAGTTAGTGGACAACTGATGAGCGTAATTCTGACCTATCACGTAGTAATTCAAGGACCGTACGATGAGCCCTCAGGAATCGTCTCGGGCGAGATACATTCGATGTATTATTGTGAAACCCGGCAAAGATGTCCAGACCAGATTATCTTGATTAGGAGGGGTTAGAAAATATATAAAAAGGGGTACGCCAAATCCTAAATCGTAGCGTTGGTCGTAAACCGTCCATCCTATCAAATGCAAATGAGAGCGTAGCTTCCTGAGCTAACTTATATAAATGGCCGCAGCGGTGCACTGCATCGTGCAGCGGGCTAGAGCAAGCGTATAAGCAGCCACTCGTGCCAAATTTCAGCCCCGTGAATAGTTCAGAGGCAGACACATATTGCATGTATCCATCGGGTGTTTCATGTAAACGGCAGCGTCGAGATTGCCGTCCACGTTGACATGGGGCGCCGTTCATAAAACAGACATGGTAACGCTAAAAATCGCACTTTAGCGAACGTGATTAGGTTGGCCCCGCTCCCTGCTTGAATCTCGGAGGGACCGCAGGGACCGACTGTATGCCCCACGCTGCGAGTAGTGCAGCGAGCTCCGCGAGCGAAACGGGGGCGCCCTATCATTGCTTAAACCCCTCATACCCAGGCGAAGCGCCGGCGAAGCGGCACGCTGAGCTCTAGTTCAGAACTGTAAGCAGGAGCAAGCAAATGCAGCAAGATATTATACACTTCACGTATTCAATATTCTTCTGAAGAAGACAATCTTCGTACTTATTATTTTGTATGGCTTGATGTTATCATTATGATGAGAGACCTTCTGTAAAAGTGTCACCTTTTTTTATAAAAGGACTCCGCAACTTCACACACGACATCGCTTTCCTCATGTCGATATTTGCACGACGGCACGCAAGTGAGGTGGGTCGCTGGGGTTGCACAGTCGGGCATGATAGTGGCGTTGGTTCTAATGCTATTGCGTCTGGCTAGGTAGGACAGGAGGGCGACGAGCAGGATCCGCCCGCTGGCTGGGCCAGCGTTTCGTTGTATAATGGTTCAGAAGGGTTCGGTTTTATTGGCGACGGACTGCGTGGGGACAAACGAGTAGCTACGGGGTTGGTAGAGGACGCGCCAGCGGTGACGATGGTGCTAAAACTCGTGTTTGAACAGGTTGCTAGAAAGTGATCGACAGCCGAGCAGTACGTATGCAATATGCATGGTGGTCAGCATCGAGTGCGCGGCGTGCGCCACTTTAAAACCAGTAGCCAAAAACATGCTAGAAGCCATTGAGACTTACTACTAAGTATGACATTTGAAGTTGTGAAGGTTTAGACAGCAAACTACACCAGAATGTCACCCCCACGCCACAACGAATGACGTGCCTCTAGGTCAGAAGTCGGCGGTAGAAGTGCATTGGGGTTATGATGCACTAGACCTTGAAAAAGAGATACAAATAAGAGTAAGCTCAACAACATCCCTTGACTTGTTTCGAAACTCGATATCGACTTCGTAGATAGTTGGTGTCTACTTCCGTAACTTGCAATGTACGAGAATGGAGTGGGATGCTGCCAAGATTCAAAGACACTGCTGCCGTATCGCTTCTCCCATCTAGCCCTTCTCTCCTTGGGGTCTTGCAGTTAAGAGTGATATTTCTCAGTGAGGGAACTTCATCCAGCGAGGCCGTGTTAAGCACTGGTGCTTCAAGTTTTATACAATCCAGCCATCCCGCTGCCTTGCTTAAGTCTTGTGAGCCCGTTCGTGTTAACGTCTTGCCGAGTTTTACCGTAATCGTAGGCAGCTTAGTGGTATTTCTCCGTCAGAGGTCTGCCCGGACGGAATGTCCCGAAGACTTTGTCCCAAAGCGAGAAGCGCTTGGCGAAGTTCCAGCGCGGGTGCGTATGGTGGAGGTCGTGGTCATGCACTCGCAGACAAATGCTCGTGACGTTGTTCAGCAGCGGCATCTGCGGGAACGAGAAGCCCTTGACCTCCAGGCCAGAGTGGCCCGCCACTTCCACGTACGTCTTGTAGGCGAACAGCAGATGCAGTTGAAACGCCGAGAAGGGGAAGCTCAGACTCCACGCCAGAAAGAACGGTAGCATGTTAGTGAGGAAGAGATCGACGCCGTCTTGCTCGTACGTCGACAGCGGACACGGGTGCAGGTGCAGATGGTGTTGCTTGTGCACGTGCTGGTAGAGCCACGCCGAGCTGTGGCACGTCCAGTGCATGCAGTAGTGGAACAAGTCGAAGAGCACCTCGAACAGCAGCGACTTGGGCACGAACCACGCGTACTCGGTCAGGAACGACCGCCAATCCACAGAGTCTTCAGCAATTGTCTGCTGTGCGAACCAGAAGGAGACGCACTCCGTGGGCACCACGAGCCACAAGATGCGGCGGTAGATGGCTCCACTCTGCTCCTGCGTGAGCTGCACGCGCTTGGGTCCGTGGATCTGCGCCTTCTTGGTCGCAATCCACTCGAACCACTTGACCATCGCCAGAATGCGCAGCGAACTCGCGCCGTAGACCACCCCCACTCCCGTCATTGCAGAGTGCGCAGACGACACGGCCAAGTAGCTTCCCAGACCCACGCTGCAGATGAAGGCGTTGATGAACGCGTAGTATTTGCAGCGCCGAGCGACGAGCTGGAGCGTGACGAACCGTGGCGACTTCATCGTTGGAGCTCGGTTCGATTGCGTTCTGCGCACATAATCGCCCGAGTCTGATGCGCAACACGCGGTGACAAAAACGACAGGTGCACAATCCTTCGGAGCTCGTCATGCGCAGATGGGTACAGCCACGTCGTTGCGTCACGAAACTGAAGTTTGAAGTTTGAAGTTCGGGTAATCCATGTATTGCTTGCACTTTCAGTCTCAACTTAATCACTTCAACGTCTCAGGATACCACGCCACGCCACCTAACCATGAAAGTCTTACCGAAGCAGCCAAACCCACGACTGTACTCGCCTAAATATGTCTTGCCGCGTCGCAACTACTGTAATGAACATCTAACTCGCGCATTCGACGCATATAGTTCGTACTTTTCAGGAAATCGACGCGCCAGGCGGGACGGCTAATTCTGCGACCAGTTCGTGTTTATTCAAGCCGCCGACCAAGACAAGACGACGACTCTCTCTCATGCACGCAGCTACTGCATTCATGGCGACCAAGCTCGTTTCTCTCTGGAGGGCGGCTCAAGTCGAGCTGCAGGGCAAGTACTCGGCGCTACCATGACTACGTCAGTACTCTGCGCGTGCTGCTCCTGTTGCTAGTGACGCCGCTGCCGTGTTTCCTACTGATCCTGATCGTCGACGCCGTGCCGCTGCGCCCCATCAGCGAAGGAATTGAGTCCAGCCAGCTCTTCTTCGTGCGAGCGTTCGTGTGCTTCTGGATCGCCAGCATCACGGCGTACGGCCAGATCAAGCACATGGCCCAGCCAGCCCCCCTCTCGAACGTAAAGAACATCTACCTCGGCGGGGTTGTCGCCGGAGTTACAGTAAGCGCCATGTATGCGATCGCACTCGTCATCGGGTACCCTCTACCTTTCGGCATCGTGACCGTCTCTCCAGTTTGGGTCCACTTGTTGCTGGCTCCGCTCCTCTCGTGGATGAAGAAGGCTCGAGCCGACCCTGCAGTGTGGACGATGTGTATCAACTTGCTGAAAATCACGGTGTTCCGAGAGTCCCTTGTCTTCATCTACCCGACGTACTTCCACTTCTTCACGACAGTCCCAGACAGCGGGAAAACTGCGTTCTCGCTCCTGCTGCCAGTTGTGAAGATCGTATTGCGCGGAGTGCTCGCGAGAATGGCGGTGCATCTGAAAGATGAAGTCCCTCAGATCGTCGTCATCAACGTGGACCTGTTCAGTGCGCTGTTCTCAACGTATTGCATACAAAGTACACCGTCGCTCAAAACAACAGGCGTCCTCATGGCCACCAAAGCGATTCAATCGTGTGTCTCCTTGTACGACATTGAACTGGTTGTCCAACGCATGAGAGCGTTGAGAAAAGAGAGCGGAGTGGTGAAGGCAGTAGCAGTACAAGCGAAGCACAGAAACTCGAGTGAAAGCGCCAACGCTGAAGCTCGACGGAAGTCAAGCGATGGACGGGTCTCGTCCGCTAATCTGTTTGCCCTAGTTCAGGCCTCGACGCGGAAGCTGTCCAAGATACTGCAGCCATTTAAGCAAATCACCTCGAAGCCACCGAAAACGCACGGATTGCTGGCAACAATTGCTCCTCTGTTGGCAGAATTTGTCAATGACGATCAGCGTGGACCCTCGAAGGACGCTGTTGCTAGTGCTATCGGCAGCAAGAGCGTCAAGTACCGGTACGTGAGAGAGCTGCGAAGAGTGCTCTACATCACGGAGTTCGTGATGCTGGTTAACTACGTTGAAGCCGTCATCCCTCTTATCTTCTGTAAGTGCTACTCGACTGCTCTTCAATTGGTCGACGGTTGGCCTCTCACTTTTGTTTTGCTTTGCGTTAGCTGCCTACCTGTTCGCGATGTATCACCTCCCGAATCGAGCGTACTACGAGCTGATGGCTCACATGGATGACGATCGGCTCCGCGGCGCTCTGATGAATGTGCTGCTTTATGCCGCGCTACAAATTGCGTCGCTGGTTGCGCTGAACATGGTGCTGTGGCACCGATTGCAGATTTCGGCCTTTCACCAACTCGCGTTTGTACTGGTGAAGTAGTGGAATCAAGTGCAGAACCGGATGATCTTGTGGGTTTTCTACAACGTCCAAGCCTCGTTACAGCACTTCGGTAAGTTGTTTTTTGGTTTTGTTGTTGTTCTTGCCGTTGTTTCCTTCGAGGATGTCTGATTGAATAAGCTGTGTGTGTATTTCGTTAGGATCGGACTACACTTTCCAGTTTTTGTGGCTTCGAGCGGCCGCCTCCCCATCAGATTAACTGCCGTCGTCCTTATTAAAGCTAGCTCTCGCATGTAAGCCGTTTTGATCTAGAAACGGTAACAAGCCTTACGAGTATTATACTTATATGCTCTGTACGAAGCTTTGAAATATTCAACGGAGTTGAATCACTACAGCAGAAAATGTGTTATTCGTTGGAACGATCCCATGGATGAGTCCACAAGTCGTGCAAAATGTTAATGACCTAACGGTTACGGATTATCGTTTTAACCGTAAACTTTACTAAACGCATAGGAGGCAGGCCGTAAAAAAACTATCCAGTCAGCATTTCACATCGGTAATGTATTTATAAGTTAATTAAGTGGGCGGGGATCCTTTTGCATCCAGGCAAATTTGAAAGTGGAGTCTGAGCCTACCGGTAGGGGCATTTTCAGTTTTAGCATAACAAACTATTGACGCAGCATATAAGTAAACTTACCGAAATGCTGGAGCAAAGCCTGCACGTTGTAAAAGACCCAGAACACGAGCTTGTGTTGCACTTGCTTCCACTGCTTTTCCAGCACGAAAGCCAGCTGACAGAAGACCGAGAATTTCAACTTGCGCCACAAGACGTAGTTGAGAACGACCAGCGAAATTAGTTGAAGCCCAGAGTACAGCAACACGCTGAATAGAGTGCTGCGTAGGTGCGTTGGATCCATGCCCGCTATTTGCTCATAGTACGCGCGATTCGGGAGGTGGTACATTATGAACAAATACGCCGCTGTCCGGGTAGAAAACTTGTGTTAATATCACTTTCGCCTCCAACATTTTATGCAGTAACTTAGCATACTCACAGAAAATACACGGGATCACCACTTCCACGTAGTTCAGCCGCACTACAAACTCCGTAATGTACATCACCTTTCGCAGTAATTGTACGTATTCAAACTCAAGACTCAAAGTTGTCGAGCTCGTCAAGTCACGCTCGCTCGGTCCAGCAACAACTGGAGACGTAACCGCGTACATTTGGGATTCCTGTTGGTCTTCAATCGGGGCAGCTTTAACTGGGTGGACGGACGAAGAAAGTTCAGTATCGTTGACACTAAACGCAAGGGGATCGATGCCGATGGTCTGCGCTGCTTCATCTGCCGGTCGAAAATGGCCTGGGCCAGGTTGAACTCTACACTTTGCCGCCTGCTGCGTATTAGGAGCGCACGTGTCGCCTCACTTTCTCTCCTAAACGTCTTCATGCGCTGAATGACGTGGCCAATATCATACAGCGACGCGCTCATCTGAAGCGCGTCCACCGCCATCAGCACGAACGTCGTCTTGACAGACGGCGTGTTCTGCATACAATACGCCACGAACAGCGCACTAAACACTTCGACGTTAAGAATTACGACCTCGGGGACATCGTCGTTCAAATGCGCGACCGCATTGGCCATAAAATTCCTCAAGACGAGCTTGATAACCGGTAAGAGAAGGGCAAACGCCGTCTTGCCACTTGATGGGATCGTCGTGAAAATGTAAAAGTACGCCGGGTAGACAACAATGAGCGTCTCCTGGCACATCATTACTTTGAGCGAGTTTACCACGTGAGACCAAACCGTATGATTAGAGTAAACTCGCTTTATCCACGAAGTCAAGGGCAGCAAGAGAAGTGTGAGCCAAGCTGGAGACACCACTGCAATGCTGAAAGGCAGCGGAAATCCGATAACGAGAGCGAGCGCGTACATCACAGCGGCGGTCAGGCCTCCCACCACAGCCCCACTGATAGTAATCTGCGCGGAGGACAGCGGCGCCTCCGCCACAATGTGCTTGAACTGGACGTACGTCATGACGCTGGCGACCCAGAAAGACACGAACGCGCGCACGAAGAAGAGATCGTTCGCGTGGACCCCCGCCGTGATGGGGCGCAATTGCACCACGTCGTGATCATTAGACAGGGCAGTGGCGTCAGCACCAACACGAAGAATACTCGTAATGCGCTCGTGTCGTTGCTGTAGGCGAAGAGAGCCTGCACCCGCTGCGTGGAATACTGGCCCTGGAGCTCCACCTGCGCCGCTATCCAGAGAGCCGACAGCTTGGCCTTCACAACGGCAACCACGCGGTGTTTAACCATCTCAAAGAGGCCTGACCTGCAAGTGACGGACGACCTCCATCGGCTGAGTTTATTCCAGTTCAGTCCAATTAAAACCCGTTTCGCCTTACCACGTGCACCAAATGCAGACTGCATCCGTCCATGAAAGTGAAGGTCACTTCAACTTGCCTTTATGTACACCACACCAACGTGCATCTAAGTGCGCATCTTAGGTTCGCAAAGCATCCATCTAATTCTCAGTCCCAAATCTGAAGAAAGAGCCTCTCCATCTCCTCCAGCTCTCTCTCTCCGTGCTGCCCCAGGAAGCCTCCCCCGACGCCTCTCAACCTGTGCATCTGCAGCTCCGTCGCCTCCTCTACCCGTTCGTACCGCATTCGCCGCCTATCTCGCCATGGACGAGTCGCTACTCGCCGCCAGCGACGACCACTTGGCCCACGCCGAGGAGGAGGACGAACTGCTCTGGAACGAGCTCAAGGATGACCACCGCGCGCGCCCATTCGGCGGACCAAGCAGCCAGGACTCCGCTCTAGGCGTTCACACCGGTCCCGCGTCCTCCTCGGCCGCGCCGCTGCCGTCGCTGCGTGTTAACGTGCACCTCCCCGCCATCTCGACGTTGTTCCGCGAGGTGCTGGACACGGCCAAGACGGCGCTGCCTGGAGGTCAACGACGGCCCAATGGACAAAGCAGCTCTCCATCTATCGGGCGCGTGTCCCCCGTGCCCGACAGATACGGGAATGTCCCCAACCTGGACGCGTTCCTCATCACACTGTACAACTACTACTACCACAAGGGCTTCTGGAGCATCGTGGTGGTGGAGCTCGTGAGCCTCGTGACCGGACTGTTCAGTGTGCTACTCTCCAGCTTCATGCTGGGCTGCGTGCAGTGGGGGCCGCTGCTGGAGTGCCACCGCCACCCGGAGAGTGGCGGCTGCAAGCAGGAGATGGAGCACTACATCACGTGCCGAGCTGACAACAACGGAGTGCTGGGGCTCGTTGGGGCGTTCTACTTCGCCATGTTCTTCGTGTACTGGGTGTCCAGAGCTTTTCAGCTCATTGGCACGCTGAGAGACACCAGGGAGATGGAGGTGTTCTACAAGGAACGACTGAGGATCGACGAAAGACAGGTGCAGACTATTGCGTGGGACGAAGTGGTCACGAGAGTGCTGGACCTCGTGAATGGAGTTAACGCGCCGGTGAATATGAGGCAGCTGTCGTCCTACAAGCTGCAGATCGACCCGGCGCTGCTGTCGTCACCCCACGACTTTGCTCGACGCATCATGCGCCGCGATAACTATCTCATCGCCTTCATGAACCACTCGCTGTTCCAAAGCAAAAACCTGCTGCCCACGTCGCTACAGTTTCTGTCCACGTCGCACGTCATGTGCTCGAGAAACATGGAGGCGAACCTGAATATCTGTCTGCTGGACCAAATGTTCGACGCCGACTTAAACCTGGCTCCGTCGGTGATCCACAACGTCGACATGCTCAAGAAGCGCTTCGTGATCGCAGGTGTGCTCAACTTTGTGCTGGCTCCGTTCATCCTGCTGTACCGCCTCTCGCGGTTCTTCTTCCTCGCGGCGCAGGAGTGGCAGACGAACCACGTATACTACTTCGGCACGCGGCGCTGGTCTGCCTACGCTATATGGCGCTTCCGAGAGTACAACGAGCTCCCGCATGTTCTTGACGCGCGTATGGCACGCTCGTACTCGCTGGCGGATCGCTACCTCGGCATGTTTCCGGCCGGCGCGCTGGCGATTATTGCTGGGGGAGTTTCTTTCTGTGCGAGCTCGTTGATGGCGGTGCTGGTGCTTGTGAGTCTGTTGGAGGAATCGGTACTGCTGGAGACAACCCTGATGGGCCACGAGCTGCTGTGGTACCTGACGGTCTCGACCGGTGTCTTCGCGCTGTCACGATCGTTCACATCGTCGACCTCGCCCTTCTTGATTAATGGCGACTGCGAAGAGGCCATGATGCAGGTCTCTGCGGAGACGCACTACTTCCCGAAGGAGTGGCGGGGCCAGTGCCACTCGTTCGAAGTGCGAGATGCGTTCACAGTGCTGTTCCCCTACAAGGCTGTGCTCTTCGCGGAGGAATGTGTGTCGGTATTGCTGGCGCCGTACATCTTGTGTGTGTCGCTCCCTCGACTTTCGCGCGAGATCCTGCTCTTCCTGCGCTCGCACTCCCTCGTGCACCCGAGCACCGGGGCGGTGTGCCGTTTAGCCGAGTTTGACTTCAAGGAGTACGGCAACGACGCCAAGATGGAGAGTTCGTTCATCAACTTCAAGCAGAATCACCCCAAGTGGGTTGGTGCGCGTGAGGGAGAAGCGCTGATGCAGCGTCTGGGCAAGCTCAAGGAGGAAGAGATGGAGAAGTCGATGCGCATGGGCGACACCATGATGTACAGCATGTCGATGTCGCAGCAGCTTATGCAGTCCCAGGCTATCCAGAACGCGATGGGCGGCGGACGCATGAGCGGGTACATGCCTCAGGACAATGAGTTTTACTGGCTGGAGAAGGTGGGTCTTCGTTGACGGTGCTGTATGATATTCAATGCGTTGTTGAAGCTAACTTTTGTTGTCATTTCTGGTGCGGTGCTTGTGCTGTTCAGCTCCACCAACAAGGCCGGTTGGGCGAGCTGGATCTAGAGGGTATGAAAGGAAACCCTGCGGACAGCATTTCCATCTCAAGTCTGGGCTCTCCGTGAAGTGAAGACTCTCAGCAAGATTAACGGTAAAAATATATACGTGTCGTTGCTGCATTCGATGACGTTCATAACAGGAAGAAACATGTTTGCCTACACCTTGGCCACCCCCAACTTAGACAAGCCGAGCCTACGAGGTCTGCAGCCGTGTATCAAACAAACGGTACCGAACGGTTGTGGCAGGACCATCGCGAGTAGGAGGTAACGACACTGAGTAGGACTTGATACACCAGTGCAGAGCCTCAGGGGTTCGCATCAGCGCTGTAAACCGCTTCTCCAGGAGAGACTTGGAGCTGGTGCTTTTGGTGAGATCGCAGGGAGGAATCCCGTGAAGAAAGTGTTCCTGCAATGAAGTGCATCCAGAGTCAGACACTTGGATCGCAAGCGAGAACCTTTGTTGGGCACTTACCGCATCCTTGCCGTATACGATGATATTCAGGGACTCCGCTTTATCTTCTACAGTCAGGGCGAACGAGTAGATGTACTCGTTTTGACTGCCAGGCTTGGGCTTGCAGATTTTCTCGATATCAGTTGGCCAAATGCCGCGCACCCGGGCGCAACAATGGAACTTGCGTGGTGTCTTGGGGGAACGGAGGATTTCTTGTAACGGGGTCACTGGGACTTTCACCTTGATGTGCTCCGGGATTACCGTAGCAACTTCGACTTGGTTAGCGGCAGCAGGGTTTTGGTCTTGGTCAACACCAGTTTGGCCTCCTTCAACGCTGCCTGTCGCGGTACCTGCTGGGTTCGGTTCATTCATCAACGAAAGACGATGCTTCACGTCAATTGTGAAGTTGGCCATCAGCATGAGAGATGTTACTTCTCTGAAGCGTAGGATTTCCCTCCCTCCAGGTGCATTGGCAGCCCCGGGAACAGCCTCGTCAGTCCCCACTGCCAAATTGCGGAATCGGCACCAGTGTTCGAGTATTCCATCGACGAAGCCCATATCGCTCACGACGCTCCAGCAGGACGACATGATCACTTCCTTCAGCATTCCATTGGGTGGAATTGGAATCCCGTGATCTGTCAATACGCGAACGAGTGTCGGATCTGAATCGGCTGTACTTCCAGAACCGTCCCAAACAATCAACCGAGTGGGCTCCTCAGAGTCGTCCAGGTACAGGACGCGCACGACGAGGTCGATAAAGTTTTCGGCCTGGCTCAATTCGGCCAGGAGCTTGGGCGCTACAGCCCAGCCCTGCGGTAAAGTAGCGTCCTCAGCTAAGCTTTTCTGCGCCCATTTACTTATTTCAGCCAAGAATGAACCGTAAGTATTTTATCCATGAAGACAATGGAAGTACAACACGCTTACATGAGGTGGCGAACGCGCTGCTCGTCGGAAGGCTCGAAAGTCCAGTTGTCAGAGCATGTAAGCTGCTCCAGCTTACCGTCGGTTTGCTCTCGGATAACGAGATGTCGTGTGCCTCGTGGTCTGTCAATATGAGCATGTTAGTCTTGAGGTCAAGGCTAGTTCACCGACAAAAAGAAAAACTTACAGACTGAGGCCTTGGATTCTATCCTGGTATTGCTGAATCTTCACCTTGTGAAAGCGAACTATATCACCCACATACTGCCAGCATAACACAGAAGCGATCATTAACCACTTCAAGTATTCAAAAACTTCAATCATATGCTCATCGTACCTTGATCTTCGGCATTTGAGCGATCGTTGGGTAGAAAATATTGATCTGGATTGCTTCAGCGCGCGTAGGACAGCTCTCATCCGTCACACTCACAGTCATCTATAAGATATATACACAACCCCCTGTCAGTCTTGTACTCGGTGCTCATGGTAGCAAAAGAAACAGCGAACTAACGCAGAAATCCCGTCCACTCGTCTTCTTGGGGAGCGTCACATTGACAACGACTCCGTAGATATCGGCGTATCCATCCACCAACTCAGCCAGAGACGAATATCTGTATGCTGGCGAAGTAATCTTTGCTTCGCCTAGAGTGCGCTTCCCGTAGTTCGGTTTCTGTGAAGCATGGAGGCAGCAGGTAAATGGCCAGCGACCAATCATCGTATTGTCTTCCAAGCCCTTATTCATCTACCTTTCTCGGCTGTATCTGAACTTGAATCTGTGTCTGCCTCGTCGGTTTAGCTGCATCACCAACACGTTAGAACTCAAACGATCAACCCTATAGGGCAACATGTTGATACGAACCTGTGTGCAGATCGCGCGTAGAAATGGTTTTGGACGGCAGGTACTTCAACTGGTCCGATTGGGGAAGCCGCTGAGGCTCCTCAAAGGCCACCTCCACGTTCAGACTGTGGGGAAAGGTAAACAGCCGAGGCTTCCTCTCCAATGTCTTCTTCAAAATATCCCGTTCCGCGACGACGGCACAGGACACGCGCTCTTCTGTCTCCGGTCCAGCTTCCCACTCCAACGCCACGAGGCCGCGTCCACTAATGCGAATCTTGTACTGCAGAGCCACAACAAATATTGTTAGAGTTTCTGGTTTAATGAAAAGAACGGAGCGGGTGGCACTTGCGTGGCGTTTGAGGAACTGCATCTTGGTCGCCCACTTGTTGTAAAAGAACACAAGACACGTCTCGAATGTCGTGCGTATTCATCAGCAACAGTAGTGCAGGTTAAGGGAAATGTATAGTAATTCTACACTACTTGTATTGATAAGAAACATTGTGGTATGTGTTGCAAAAGGATATGATTCTCGACTAGGACGGCCACCAACTGGAATGCGTCCGGGCCGCACGGGCCGACACCAGGACCGAATGTGCCCAGCTCTCCGTCATCAGACTCTGTAGCGCCGCCACCAGTCGCTTGGCGCAGCGGTTGCAGCGGGTACGCGCGCTTCACCGTGCCATCAACGACGCATTGGCCGCCCACCAGCTCCATTCTATTGTGAATTGACAAGTGAATTGACTGCGAATGAATTGAATTGTATGAATTTAACCTCAAACTGAGGTTATTTCGTGCTTGTTCTCAGCCATCACAAGAAGGCAAGAGAAGAACCGAAACGTGCAGAAGTCTTAAGACTCACTGGACAGTTGTGGTTAAGAGGAAAGGATGGCGCGAAAAGTGTGGTTCCATCTGGCAGACGCAACAACTCGTGGCGCGTACGCGGGTACCCAGGCAGCATCCGTGTCATCCGACGGTGTCAGTGATATAGAGGACCTGCGCAAGGCGATTCGACAGAAGTATCGTCATGATCATCCGGATATCCTAGAGGGTATCATAGCGGATCAACTGCGAGTCTACGCCAACGGAGCAGTGTATGAGGACAAGGATGGAGAGCCTCTGGAAGTCGACTCTCTGATCGGCGCGCTTGGTGCATCGAAGAAGGATGCACTCATCGTGGTAGTGCCGCCGCCGGCGCAGCGAGGTGGCGCAACTGTGGAATCGCCAGAGGCGCAGTGGGAGAAGTTGTTGGATTCGCTGGAGTGGAAGAAGCCGAGGCGTCTTTGCGCAAGCTCTGGACAAGATTGGCCGTATCAAGGGGAATCAGAGCTTGCGGGTCATCTTGTGGAGCCGCTTGCACTGCATTATACTGCCTGGTATCTCCAGAACGAGGACAAGCAGAATCACGCCATCAACCTAGTGCTGAGTGGACCAGGCACGGGAAAGTCGCGCATGCTGGATCAAATGAAGGGCTTGATGTGTGCAGCTGCTGCCCTCTCGAACAACCGAAAGCTCAAAGAGAGAATGGAGAACGCATTTGTGTTTAGTGTGACGTTCGAAAACGGCACTTCGGCGACTGGATCATTACTTGATCGTGACAATCCTGAGTTCGACATCAGCTACCGAATGCTCTACCAACTCTCGAAAGACAAAAAAGCGTGGCCGGTGTTTGTTGACAAGCTGCGCATGATGTGCTCATCACTTCCTTTGCGTATTCAGATCGTGATTGACATTTTGGCCAAACTGAAAGGGATTGACGATGTGAAGAAAATGACGGTGATTTTGTGTGTCGATGGCCTCCAGAAGCTGGTCAATGATGGTACCAAAAGCTGCGACTTCTACCGCGTGTTGGCTTCAGTCTGCAGCTTCTTGAATTCGTCCAGAGCGTTTGCTGTTTGTGTTTGTTCGGCAACCGTTCAAAGTCCCGTCGATAAGGCACTTTCGGACTCTCCTCAGAAGCGCGTGTTTCTAGTCCCACCTCCATTACGTGGCCACGAAGTCCTGCCAACGAAGACAAGGATCGAGAAGCAGTTGGTAGACGACATGGGTGGGCATGGACGAGCTCTGGAAACACTACAACTCTTTCTGAGCCACTACACGAAAGACCAATTGGAGGAAATGGACCCAACATGGATGTTTGAGAAAGTGTGCGATGCGTTGCGACTCCAATATGGTGATATCTTTGCGTCTCCGTTTTTCCAAGATCCGTACAATTGCCGAGAAGTGCTCGCCGCAATCCTCTCTCGTCGTCGTTATAAGCTGTTTGATCGTATTGGGCGCACGGACATGACCGTAGATTGTCTTCGAAGCTTCGGATTGTTCCGATGGGGCGCGGAAGGCCATTTGGAATGCGCTTTCATTCTTCTTGTGCTGCTGATGCAGAAACTCCCGAAGAAGCTCGGAGGAGTAGATAATTTCGACGACCATCTCACGCGTACGGTTTTGGTATGGCAGCGATTTGAACAATTCGTGGCGTTTTACCGTCGAGTGAAATCGATCGCCTACTGCGAGACTCCGGTCGCACTGTCCAGTTTCCACGCTGGCGCTCGTTTTGGTGCTATCCAAGACATTATTATAACAGAGCCGACTTCACGCACTGTCGTGGAAGCACTGCGCCAAGAAGATACAAAATCCAGTTCCGATGATTCGACGTGCTTCACAAATCGTGATGGCGGCGTGAAGATTTCAGATATGGATACGATCGTCATCAACGGTGCTAGTGCTTCAGCTGGCGACTTATTTATGCGAGTTCAATTGAAGGTCGGTCGTCAAAACGTCCAATGCAACGAAGTGATTCAATGCAAGCTGCTTCAAACCAAACAGAAGATAGACGAAGACGCGTATGCCAAAGAACGAGCTAAAGCGGCAAACGAAAGCTCGGATGTATTTTTGCTCGTTACGCCAGCACAAGCGACAGAGTTTGATCTTCCTCCACGATGTGGACTTGTTTCAGCAAACGATTTTGGCCGATATTTTGGACCGTTTACAAGTCGCGCGTATCGGAGTTTTCTGGAGCCACCAAATATCAACACAGCTTCATTCCATGAGTTACGTCGACTCGAGGGCGTGGGTGACGCAACTGCCGCGAAGATTATCGCTGAGAGAACGATACGCCGATTCTCGAATCTCGAAGATGCATTGAATCGACTGGTTCCAAGCAAGAAAGGCAAGACCGCCATGATTCTGAGCCGCATGCATTACGATGACGATGAGGCTGATCTGTAACTCGATTTACATTGGCTGTTGTGCAAATGCTCGTCTAGCATGGCACTTTTCTTAGCGCAGCGCAGTCCCCCCCCAAATTAATCGAAGCGTCGCTTATTGCAATCGCGATCGACTTGTCTGTATTTCGCCGTCATGGTTATATCCCGAGTGTTGAGCATTTTCACATGGCGTATGCTGCTTCGAGTACCAATGCGGAAGTAATTTGGGTACTGTACAGTAGAAGCCACAGCAATGAATTGCAACTGGCTGCGGTGCAAACAGTGTGTGGCACCTCTGGGTACGGCTTTTTGCATGGAGGGCTCTCTCGAGAGGAAACATTGCTGCCACTGTATTCCGGTGTTTGTTGCAAGTACTCCACCACCTCCTCGCGTACGTCCGCCATTGCCAAGATACCCAAATGATGCACCTCGTTCCTACTGCTACCCAAGTCGTCCGACAGCTATCTGGATCCTCGTATTTGCTCCAGATTTTATCGGACCCCGATCAGGAAAACGAGCTCAAGCACATGATGGAGTTGTTCGCACCATACTTGCAAACTGCTGGTCAATAGAAACGAACATGATATTGGCTCGAAGCAACATGCATCTTTCCCGCTACAGTACACTATCCGACACTGACGACTGCTTAGCGGCGACGGCGCTCCTCGTACTCTGCCTGGATCTCCTCGTTGGTCTTTCCCGCCGTCTCCGGCACGAGCTTGAGCGACAGGAAGTAGAAGATGATGAGCAGCACCGTGAAGGGCGTGTAGCTCCAGTCGTCGAAGGCGTCGGCCAGGTACGGGTAGCCCACGCCGACAATGAGGTTGCACAGCCAGTTGGCGCCGATGCAGATGGACGAGGCGCTGGCGCGCACCGAGTCCGGGAACATGTCTGCCGTCATGACCCAGACGAGCGGCCCGAGCGTGACGCCGAAGACGATGACGTAGAGCGCCGTGAAGACGATGGAGAGCACCGACACGTCCACGAGGAAGGCGACGGTCATGCCGATGGACATGACGACCATGCCGGCGATGCCCCAGAGGATCATGTTGCGGTTGCCGAAGCGCGTGGCCAGCACGCCCGTGAAGAAGGCCGGCCAGATGTTGATGAAGTCGATGATGAGCGTGCCGACGCGCGAGTCCGAGATGCCGGCGTCCGAGAAGATGTTGCCCGAGTAGTAGAAGACGGCGTTGATGCCCGAGAGCTGCTGCGTGCAGGACAGCAGGAGCGCGCCGAGGAACTGCAGGCGGTACTTGGGCGACCAGATCGACTCGGCCGGCTGCGAGCTGGCGGCGTATCCGGCCTCGGCCTCGCTCGGCTGCTTGTTGGCCTCGAGCCAGCCCAGCGCGGTCTGCACGTGCTCCTCGCCGTACAGACGCGTGATGACCTGCCTGGCCTCCTCGCGGCGGTTCTTCATGAGCAGCCACGCGGGGCTCTCGACGGCCAGCGAGGGCGAAAGCAACATGTAGATGGCGGCCAGCACGATGGGGAAGCCGGCCATGTAGCGCCATCCATCGCCGCTGTCGGCGAAGAAGAAGCAGATGGCCGGCACCAAGATGCCGATGGTGGTGGAGATCTGCAGGCCCAGGCCGAGGTGGCTGCGCAGGTGCGGCGGCGACAGCTCGTTCACGTACGCGCCGATGGTGCCGGTGGCGGCGCCCGAGGCGATGCCGGAGACCATGCGGCCGACGGCGAAGGGCCAGATGTTGGAGACGACGGCCTGGATGACGGCGCCGCCGATCATGAAGAAGCAGTTGAAGAAGAGCAGCTTCTTGCGGCCCATGATGTCGCTGAAGTAGCCGCAGAGCAGACTGCCGCACATGGCGCCGAAGATCCACGCGTTCACGGCGAAGGTCCACTCGAGCTTGGAGTGGCCGCTGAAGAGCGTGCATGTGCCCGGGACGACGGGCCGCGCGTTGCACTCGTCCGTGTTGTTGTAGTCGGACAGGTTGAGCTGCGAGGTGGACCATCCGCTCTGGAAGGGCTGCAGCAGCGCCAGCAGCACGCTCGTGTAGAGGATGCGGTTGGGCTTGATCTGGAGCGCGGCGGCCTTGTTGGCGTCGTCGAAGGCGACGTCGGCCTTGGGCGTCGAGACCTCGTTGTAGACGTCGTCAGGGTGCGGCGGCATGGCTGGCGAGTGAGTGATTGAGTCAGGTGCGTAGTCAACGCTTGGCTTGTGCGTTGCGCGTCTAAATGAAAACTGAACAAAGTGCAACAGGTTCTTGTCAATGAAATGGTAAGGTCGAAGGATCACTAGCAAAGTGAGCTGTCATGGTTGGCTTGCATTACAATCGATTTGTTTTTGTAGTTCTGTGCGTCTCTTACTTGATTGATTGGGTTGCTATCAATCTCGTCCTTGGTGCCGGCTCTAATGCGTTGAGCCTTTCTTTTCCGTCCCGAGACAGGAGCTATTTACTCGTTCGTTAGCAAGCGCGAAGGTGTCTGTACGTTGCAGATCAGAGGGATGCGATTACGGCAAATTGAGCACCGAGGCCCGAGCCAACGTGGATTCGCTCCACGCTGCTTCAACGTCATCGAGTTGATTTATTTCACAAAGATCGGGCTGTTACTGTGGCAGTCCTCCGCGGCGCCTGGACTCGCTTGCTCGAGTTGCACTGGCTCAGGGTCCTTGTGGACACTTTGGCAGCACGGATGGACATCACACAAGCTGAAGCTCAATTAAAAATGGCCCGGTTATGCCAGATTACTCCACGCAACTTGACACTCGATGCGCGGCAAGGGGATCCCATTCACATCGGGAAGCGAGCGCCCTGGAGCTGCTCAGAGATTTCAGCTTTGTGGCATGCGGTGCAAATGGCACGCATGCTGTAGTCGACACCTTCGAACTCCAAGCAGCGTCGGTGATAATGTACAGTAAGTACATGTATGATGTGTAAATACAATCTGCCCCGATCTTTGTTAGCTGAATGGTCTCCATGTTGAAGTGGCATAACCGGACGCACGTCATTGACGCGACCTCAAAAAGCGTCACGAGCATCGACGGGTCGGAACGAGATCAGCTCCCCGCCGAAGGCTGCAAACTCTGCATCGCTTTTCCTTGTGCACATGGCCCATGTCATGGGCTCCGCGCTGGAGCATTGGATCAGCTCGCACTCGCCTTCCTGTCACATCGGGCCGATCTATGTGAAATAAATCAAATGGCCGAGTCCGCTTCACTCGACTGCCCTGCTCCAGCATCTTGGCGTAATCGCTCGTGTGACTGGAAGTCACAACTTTAAAGCTCTACCGGCAGATCCTGATACATGTAGCAGAACGGAGCTGTATCGATAGGACAGCTCCAACTGCAACATCGGCGCCTCCTCGCCAAGCACCACAGCACTTAAGTGCACGCTCTTTGCCGCCACCAGTTCGACAAGCACTAGCGCAACGTTACCAAGTAACAACTTCATTCGAAGTCTCATTTCCAATTCGGACACACAGCACAAAAGCCAGCTTCACCCAGTACGATAGTCGCTGACGATCCACTACTCACCAACTCACTAATTCACTCGCCAGCCATGCCGCCGCACCCTGACGACGTCTACAACGAGGTCTCGACGCCCAAGGCCGACGTCGCCTTCGACGACGCCAACAAGGCCGCCGCGCTCCAGATCAAGCCCAACCGCATCCTCTACACGAGCGTGCTGCTGGCGCTGCTGCAGCCCTTCCAGAGCGGATGGTCCACCTCGCAGCTCAACCTGTCCGACTACAACAACACGGACGAGTGCAACGCGCGGCCCGTCGTCCCGGGCACATGCACGCTCTTCAGCGGCCACTCCAAGCTCGAGTGGACCTTCGCCGTGAACGCGTGGATCTTCGGCGCCATGTGCGGCAGTCTGCTCTGCGGCTACTTCAGCGACATCATGGGCCGCAAGAAGCTGCTCTTCTTCAACTGCTTCTTCATGATCGGCGGCGCCGTCATCCAGGCCGTCGTCTCCAACATCTGGCCCTTCGCCGTCGGCCGCATGGTCTCCGGCATCGCCTCGGGCGCCGCCACCGGCACCATCGGCGCGTACGTGAACGAGCTGTCGCCGCCGCACCTGCGCAGCCACCTCGGCCTGGGCCTGCAGATCTCCACCACCATCGGCATCTTGGTGCCGGCCATCTGCTTCTTCTTCGCCGACAGCGGCGATGGATGGCGCTACATGGCCGGCTTCCCCATCGTGCTGGCCGCCATCTACATGTTGCTTTCGCCCTCGCTGGCCGTCGAGAGCCCCGCGTGGCTGCTCATGAAGAACCGCCGCGAGGAGGCCAGGCAGGTCATCACGCGTCTGTACGGCGAGGAGCACGTGCAGACCGCGCTGGGCTGGCTCGAGGCCAACAAGCAGCCGAGCGAGGCCGAGGCCGGATACGCCGCCAGCTCGCAGCCGGCCGAGTCGATCTGGTCGCCCAAGTACCGCCTGCAGTTCCTCGGCGCGCTCCTGCTGTCCTGCACGCAGCAGCTCTCGGGCATCAACGCCGTCTTCTACTACTCGGGCAACATCTTCTCGGACGCCGGCATCTCGGACTCGCGCGTCGGCACGCTCATCATCGACTTCATCAACATCTGGCCGGCCTTCTTCACGGGCGTGCTGGCCACGCGCTTCGGCAACCGCAACATGATCCTCTGGGGCATCGCCGGCATGGTCGTCATGTCCATCGGCATGACCGTCGCCTTCCTCGTGGACGTGTCGGTGCTCTCCATCGTCTTCACGGCGCTCTACGTCATCGTCTTCGGCGTCACGCTCGGGCCGCTCGTCTGGGTCATGACGGCAGACATGTTCCCGGACTCGGTGCGCGCCAGCGCCTCGTCCATCTGCATCGGCGCCAACTGGCTGTGCAACCTCATTGTCGGCGTGGGCTACCCGTACCTGGCCGACGCCTTCGACGACTGGAGCTACACGCCCTTCACGGTGCTGCTCATCATCTTCTACTTCCTGTCGCTCAAGCTCGTGCCGGAGACGGCGGGAAAGACCAACGAGGAGATCCAGGCAGAGTACGAGGAGCGCCGTCGCCGCTAAGCAGTCGTCAGTGTCGGATAGTGTACTGTAGCGGGAAAGATGCATGTTGCTTCGAGCCAATATCATGTTCGTTTCTATTGACCAGCAGTTTGCAAGTATGGTGCGAACAACTCCATCATGTGCTTGAGCTCGTTTTCCTGATCGGGGTCCGATAAAATCTGGAGCAAATACGAGGATCCAGATAGCTGTCGGACGACTTGGGTAGCAGTAGGAACGAGGTGCATCATTTGGGTATCTTGGCAATGACGGACGTACGCGAGGAGGTGGTGGAGTACTTGCAACAAACACCGGAATACAGTGGCAGCAATGTTTCCTCTCGAGAGAGCCCTCCATGCAAAAAGCCGTACCCAGAGGTGCCACACACTGTTTGCACCGCAGCCAGTTGCAATTCATTGCTGTGGCTTCTACTGTACAGTACCCAAATTACTTCCGCATTGGTACTCGAAGCAGCATACGCCATGTGAAAATGCTCAACACTCGGGATATAACCATGACGGCGAAATACAGACAAGTCGATCGCGATTGCAATAAGCGACGCTTCGATTAATTTGGGGGGGGACTGCGCTGCGCTAAGAAAAGTGCCATGCTAGACGAGCATTTGCACAACAGCCAATGTAAATCGAGTTACAGATCAGCCTCATCGTCATCGTAATGCATGCGGCTCAGAATCATGGCGGTCTTGCCTTTCTTGCTTGGAACCAGTCGATTCAATGCATCTTCGAGATTCGAGAATCGGCGTATCGTTCTCTCAGCGATAATCTTCGCGGCAGTTGCGTCACCCACGCCCTCGAGTCGACGTAACTCATGGAATGAAGCTGTGTTGATATTTGGTGGCTCCAGAAAACTCCGATACGCGCGACTTGTAAACGGTCCAAAATATCGGCCAAAATCGTTTGCTGAAACAAGTCCACATCGTGGAGGAAGATCAAACTCTGTCGCTTGTGCTGGCGTAACGAGCAAAAATACATCCGAGCTTTCGTTTGCCGCTTTAGCTCGTTCTTTGGCATACGCGTCTTCGTCTATCTTCTGTTTGGTTTGAAGCAGCTTGCATTGAATCACTTCGTTGCATTGGACGTTTTGACGACCGACCTTCAATTGAACTCGCATAAATAAGTCGCCAGCTGAAGCACTAGCACCGTTGATGACGATCGTATCCATATCTGAAATCTTCACGCCGCCATCACGATTTGTGAAGCACGTCGAATCATCGGAACTGGATTTTGTATCTTCTTGGCGCAGTGCTTCCACGACAGTGCGTGAAGTCGGCTCTGTTATAATAATGTCTTGGATAGCACCAAAACGAGCGCCAGCGTGGAAACCGGACAGTGCGACCGGAGTCTCGCAGTAGGCGATCGATTTCACTCGACGGTAAAACGCCACGAATTGTTCAAATCGCTGCCATACCAAAACCGTACGCGTGAGATGGTCGTCGAAATTATCTACTTCTCCGAGCTTCTTCGGGAGTTTCTGCATCAGCAGCACAAGAAGAATGAAAGCGCATTCCAAATGGCCTTCCGCGCCCCATCGGAACAATCCGAAGCTTCGAAGACAATCTACGGTCATGTCCGTGCGCCCAATACGATCAAACAGCTTATAACGACGACGAGAGAGGATTGCGGCGAGCACTTCTCGGCAATTGTACGGATCTTGGAAAAACGGAGACGCAAAGATATCACCATATTGGAGTCGCAACGCATCGCACACTTTCTCAAACATCCATGTTGGGTCCATTTCCTCCAATTGGTCTTTCGTGTAGTGGCTCAGAAAGAGTTGTAGTGTTTCCAGAGCTCGTCCATGCCCACCCATGTCGTCTACCAACTGCTTCTCGATCCTTGTCTTCGTTGGCAGGACTTCGTGGCCACGTAATGGAGGTGGGACTAGAAACACGCGCTTCTGAGGAGAGTCCGAAAGGGCTAAATCGACGGGACTTTGAACGGTTGCCGAACAAACACAAACAGCAAACGCTCTGGACGAATTCAAGAAGCTGCAGACTGAAGCCAACACGCGGTAGAAGTCGCAGCTTTTGGTACCATCATTGACCAGCTTCTGGAGGCCATCGACACACAAAATCACCGTCATTTTCTTCACATCGTCAATCCCTTTCAGTTTGGCCAAAATGTCAATCACGATCTGAATACGCAAAGGAAGTGATGAGCACATCATGCGCAGCTTGTCAACAAACACCGGCCACGCTTTTTTGTCTTTCGAGAGTTGGTAGAGCATTCGGTAGCTGATGTCGAACTCAGGATTGTCACGATCAAGTAATGATCCAGTCGCCGAAGTGCCGTTTTCGAACGTCACACTAAACACAAATGCGTTCTCCATTCTCTCTTTGAGCTTTCGGTTGTTCGAGAGGGCAGCAGCTGCACACATCAAGCCCTTCATTTGATCCAGCATGCGCGACTTTCCCGTGCCTGGTCCACTCAGCACTAGGTTGATGGCGTGATTCTGCTTGTCCTCGTTCTGGAGATACCAGGCAGTATAATGCAGTGCAAGCGGCTCCACAAGATGACCCGCAAGCTCTGATTCCCCTTGATACGGCCAATCTTGTCCAGAGCTTGCGCAAAGACGCCTCGGCTTCTTCCACTCCAGCGAATCCAACAACTTCTCCCACTGCGCCTCTGGTGATTCCACAGTCGCGCCACGCTGTGGCGGCGCCAGCAGCGGAGGGAAGTCTCTCGTGTCGAAAAATCTCCTCTCCTCGTCCACTCCCGCATCCACTCTGCGCTTTTTCATCGGAACCACCACCAGCACGTTCACTGGGCCTCTCCCTGCTGCTTCTTCTTGGGCATCCACTTCGCTGACAACTTCATCCGACAGCCCCACACTAAATAGCTTCGCCCGCACCACTTCCAACCGCACGAGGCCCGTGATGTCCGTTACGCCGCTCTTCACGTCTGCCTCCGTCAGCCACTCACCATCCCTCTTCGCCACGTAGAGCTCCAGCTTGTCTGCGTCGATGTCCTTGAGGTCGTTCGGCTTCTTCGCCTTGATCGACTTCTTCAAGTCGTCCACCGTGTCGCTCTCATCTACTCGCACCGAGAACGCGCTGCCTGCCACACCTACGACCGCACAGTAGAGCTTCACCATCTTTCCTCGAGCCCGCAGAAGGGAGGGAGAATTTCTTGCGTACTTAAGCGGACATGAAGGTGCCTGTGTGCAATAGATTTTCAACCAATGATACGCCGCGCTGGTCCTAACTAAGCCTTGAGGTAAAAAACTGTTATTAATAGAGAGCTTTCGCAAACAGACCTATTGCAAAAAGGATTTGCTTCGGATTCGGATTTTGGGTCGGCCATTTCGCAGCTACTCCTAATCAGAATACGGAATGCATATCTATGGGGTTGTGTGGAAGCACTACATACAAGCAAACAGTCAATATACCAACGCTAGTAGTAGGTCGCAGCACATTACACCGGCAGTTTTTTATTTTCATAATTTCTTACCGTAATTAACCACCGAGAACATTCCTGAAACCTTCTTTCGGGACAGCAGCGATTCCAACGACGCGACCTCTCAACCACCTGAGCAGTGGTGGCACATGCCGCCTTTTCAAAATTATCATCTTTCTTAATACGCCGAAATACGAGTTGAAACTATGTCAAAATGCTGCTCTTTGCTCAAAGAATTCAAAACAGTCGTTTTCACTTGAAAAGACGTTCTAGAAGCTGAGATATAACACAAAGAACACCCGCCTAAACCCCCAAAAGGCGGCCTAAACTCCGTTTTTGCCATCACTGACCTGAGAGCTTGAGGAGGCGTCTGTTAGCGAGCGGGCAGCCGCGCGACCCTGTAGACGTGCAGGATCGCACATGCGAGGGTAAGACGAAACTCCTAATAATTACTGGCACATTACGACGTCATTTTCAGAAATAATTTATTTTTTTCAAAAAAATAAGAGGCTATCTATATAGATACCATACATACATCATGTCGAACACACTAACTTTCGGAAAATACAAAGGTCAATCCATTGAGGATGTATTCAAGAATGATCCTGGATACTGTCGATGGATGCACAACCAACCAAGCCTTAACATTAGTGAGGATATCAAGATTTTCCTTCACTCCAAGTTTCTCAGCAACGATAATTCATATATGATGACATGGGGGAAGTATCGGGGTAAGACTCTCAAGCAGATTAGCCGAATGGATCCCGGATATATCGATTACCTACGCAAGAGCGAATTCGTGATTGAGAAGTGTCCTAAGCTACTCAAGGAGCTTAACTAAGAAAAAAATAAATTTTTTTGTTAGCTAAAAATGGGGTCTACAACCTATGCGGTTGAGAATTCTAAAATTTCGCCGGTTAGTCTATCGAACGTTAGTTCCTGTTCGCTGATCAAGAGGACCAACAGATTTACGCCTTGACATCCAGCGTTGGTACCCTGAATCTGAATGGCTTGAGGTACATCACGCTCAGTCAGACGACTAACGTCAGCGATAAGGACACGGTTAGTTAGCGACCACGTCTGATAGTCAAGGAGACCATTAACTAATTCAGGTGTTAGATCACCATTGATCGAAGAGATCTTAGCCAACTCATTGTGGAAGTGATGGAAGTCATAATCATGGCTAATGTCGAACACCTGAGTAGAACCAATGCGCACGTTGAAGTTGCGAATCGAACTACCTGGGTGGAGTGTCCATGGAGAACTATCGAACGGAGATTGGAATTCCTGAACAGTAGCAGAAGCGAAATTACCAGTCTGTTCAGCAAAAGGGAGTACAACTACGTATTTCGCATTCTTAACACTTGCCGATAGCTGTAGATCAAAGGAAGCGTTATGCTGAGTCGATTGCTTTCCAATACCAGCCCGCTGATAGAACCACTGAGCGTAGCAATCGTTGTAGCGAACCTTCTTAACCGGCTTAGAAATGATAGCCTGAGGATTCTCAAGATGTACAAACGGTACATACAGGCGAGCCGTAGTGAAAGGCATATACGTTCCATCGATAGTAGGTTCAAGAGCATTGACTACAGCGCCCCAAGAGATACTGAATCCGGCAGAAGCAGCAAGCACTCCAGCCATGGGATTACCACTGGAAGAGGCAGCGACCATTACAGGACATACATTGCCCGAAGCAAGGGTAGTAGAAGTTAGAGACATACCCTTTGTAGAATCTACAGCGATAGTAGAAGTTCCCTGATTGACGCGGAAACGGAGACGAATCTGGGGATTAGCCATTAAATCAAGTTCCTTGAAGATAGGATGGAGATCGGATAGCTTGATCTTTAGCATGTAGTTCCATGTACCCATGATTGCGTTAGCAGTGGCAGCACCAGCTACAAATGCACCACGAGCAGTTTGGTTAGCAATGGTGGTAGAAGCAGCAGCTCCACCCACCGAAGGCCACGTCGAAGAGAAATCAACGCCAGCAGTAGGAGGGTTCGACAACAGACGCTTTACGAGACCGTCATTAGCAATTGTTGCTCCTCCAGCAGGAGTAGAAGTGGTGAAAGTTGAAGAAAAGGCAGCAGTGTTTGAATAGCCATCGCCGTTGAGGGAATTAGTTCCAGAGCTGTACGAGACGGACTGAGCAGCATCGGGGAACAAGAACGATTCCGCTCCATGCTTCTCTACATACTGAGGACTGTATCCAGTCTGAGCGCGAACGTTGTTCCAAAAGAGCTTGTAGTCGGCCATCGATACGATGGTCTTACCATTTAGTTCAAGACTCAGGCTATCGATGACATTCCAGTTGCCACACTTTAGAGTAGCGCAGAAGCGGTTAGCAGGTAGAGTCTGACCAGTAGCACCATTCTTCATCGATACTTTGTACGGAAGCATAATGTAGGCATCACGGAGGCTCGCAAACCCTTCTGATCCATTCAGTTGAGCTGTTGCGTCAATAGTGATGACACCATTTTGATACGATCCCTGGTTGAGATCGATAACAAACGGTACACGCTTGCCTGATGATACCTTGATCTCCGGGTCGCTCTTGAGCGAGCTCTGGTACAAATATTGGTCGGATAATTGAGTTTCACTCATCGTTGAGATTCTATATGGGATGTAATATACTTTCTCAAAATTAATTATTATGGAGTTCATTAAACCAATCACATCTGATCATGACCTCATTGAACTTGCGAAAAAAATGAATATACATCTTGATGATATTTTTGAGTCAAGTGAGATAACAAAGCGGCTCCCAAAGAAAGGATCATATCTGATTTTGTTGAGGCAACCTAATATGGATGTAGGACATTGGACATGTGTTCATGATGGGGAGTATTTCGATAGTATGGGTGAGGCAGCCCCAACAAAGTATGGAGTCGGTAAATACAATCCAAAGCAATACCAAGGTACGTATGGTGATTATTGTGGGATATGGTGCATGCTGTGGCTCTATTCGAAACAATATCGTAAGCCAGATGTATTCAAAAATATGAAAGATTTAAATTTAACTATTCTTTAATTCAACGTATATAGCAAACATGTACCGCGAACTAACTATTTCAAGCGATATTCCTGCCCGAAAGCTTAGCAAAGTTTTCAAGACCGGTAAGCTTAGTCTTACATCAAACGAACTCAAGGGTAGCGGCTCTGTTATCCACCTTCATCCGACGTCTTATGAGAAAGCTATTAAGGCTCGTAAGGCTGGACGCGGTGTCAGACTTGACATTACCAAGCACGAAGTAAAGAAGGGATACAAGAGGGCTCAAGGAGGTTCTATTTGGTCCAAGGTGTGGGGAGGGATCAAGTCTGCTTTCAAATTCGCTAAAGATTCGGGAATCTTGAGCAAAGCCGTTGATGCTGCCGTTCCTGCGTTAGCAACGTATGCCGGTCAGCCAACGGCTGCCATCCCCGCGCGAGCTGCAATTAAGTCTCTAACAGGAATCGGTATTTACGACTCCGATAGCGACAAGGAGGGAGGACGTGTATCGATGGCTGACGTAAAGAAGGCTGCTAAGAATGCTCTTGGATATGCCAAACGTAGAGGAATCATCACTGATGCGGTCGATGCAGGAGAGAAGTTCCTACTATCAAAAGCTACCAAGCCTGAACATGAGGATCTAATCAGATCTATGCGAAAGGAGGTTCGTCGTCGTTATGGAGTAGGAGTAGCAAAGAAACGCCCAGCGAAGGATTCGGCGGAGATGAAGGAGCGAATGGCAAAGCTACGAGCTATGCGAAAGAAGGGTAAGTCTGGAGGTTCTTTTACATTGTAAAAAAAATTATCGAAGATTTATTTTTTTGGACGGATCAAGAGCATAATAGATACCGAAGTATCACGGAAAATGACCTTCTTGTCATTTTGATTGTATATGCTTAGCGTAATACTGGCACGAGATCCGTTATGACAGTTCATCCACGCATACTGACTCGGTTTGTATGAAATGACCTTTCCAATAGCGGCATCGCCTCTATCAAAAGCGCTGACAATATCGCCTGAGGCTACGTATTCGTTTTTGATAAGATCGCAACGGACGATGTAGGAACTGGTTGGATGGATCTGAGGAATGATATCAGAGAGCTGAGCACTTGCAACAGTAGCTGGAGAAGCAGGATATGACCCAAGCGTCAATCCTACTACTTTTCCGAATTCAGCATTATCGATGATCAATCGAGGGACACGAGTGGTAGTCGGCAATCCACTACCGCCCGAGGAATATAGACCTGTGGTAGGTCTTGTCCATGTACCCCCAGCTGTAGGTAGCGTTGTAGGTGTAGGAGAGAAATCAAGCTGACAAGCGTAATAGACGCTGTTAGCACTCATTTTGAGGTAGAATGTATTATTCCCAGACGGATCGATGAGATAGGCCCCAGCATTGACAAGAGCCGTCTGAATGCTTCGATTGATATCGTCGTAGGAGTAGATTCCATCAGGAAGGCTTAGATTGATTGTCGATGTAGTTGCAGCGGTAGGTACTTCGATTTTGAAGGTTGTGTTCTGAAATTGCATCGAATCAATGTTATACTCGGAGTTATACATTGAAATCGATTGAATAGCACATACTACATCGCGGAAGTCAGCGGCCGATCCGGGAAAAGAGTATTTCCAGGTTGAGTTGGTTCCATCCTGTACCAGATTGGTGCTATCGAGTTTGATAAAGCTGGACATATTGTTTTATATGAATGGAAGCATATTTTTTTTATAAAATTAGTCCTCAATTCGAATCACTCTATCAAAGTTATACCTGATCTGACCCTTGACGGAATCTATGAAGAGCATTTGCCCCTTTCGCTCCGTAGCCTTGTTGTAGTAATAGACGATTGAACGATCATCTACTCCCTTGATATTGAAATCTTTCACAACCATCTGGAGATCACGCTTCGAATTCGCCTTTAGGATAGCTACATACTCTGAATTCAAGCGTATCATCTTATCCGTGGCAAAGTAGCTGTGGCTTAGGAATATCGTACTGAGCTTGAAGTGGCGACCTCTTGTATAGTAATGAGAGAACAAATTCTTCTGAAGTAGCTTATCGTTGCTGTAGTCATCTATGATGACGAGCTCAGGTTTATTGGAGTTGATTGGTGTATGACGAACCTGATCAACACTTGGAAGCGAATCAGGGTCGGCGAATGTGATAAAGCCATCCAGCTTGTCGCGAAGATATTCGTACAACTCCTGATGAGGATTACGGGCAATGATCGTTAGATGAGCGAATACGTGAGGAGAATGTTTGAGGATGTACATACATAGATTGTTCTTCCCACTGAACGATGGCCCCAGAACCACCATTCTAAACAACGCTTTGATGTCAAGCGCTGGAATATCACCCATCGATGCGCTTTTGAACTTTTTTGGGATTGAAGCCCCAAAATCAGGAATACCGCTCATGATTATCGTCTAATCTATATAGCTTTAGACAAAATGAGTTCTGGTTTTTCTTATCCTCAACCAACATTCACATCTTCAATCTATAACCCTGCATTCTACCTATCGTTGGATGCCAGTGGTTTTCTAACGTATGACTATGCTCAGACTCTACATCTAAACAAGTATGACTATCGTTTGTCATACATTACCGGTATCTCTCAAGGAATTGCAACCCAAGGAGTAGCACTTGTCCCTGGATCTGGTGGTGATATCAGCGGCCTCGGGGCAATCAGCTGTAGTAGTCTGACTGTTAATGGATCAACTATTACAAGCGCTCCATCTTACGTTTTAGGAATTACGCCCGGTACCGCGGATATAAACAAAGCATTGGTACTTGATGGATCGAAGAATGTTTCAGGAATCAGTTCATTATCAGCTTCGAGTCTTACAGGCACGCTACAAACCGCGGCTCAGACGAATATTACCTCAGTAGGTACGCTGAGCAATCTCACCCTGAATACGGGTGGGACAGGTCTATTCATTCCGAATCTCAAGTTCTGGGATGGCGTTAGTGCATGGGTTAACTTCAATCATGCTTACTTTCTTAACGTTATCGAGGGAGGAGCTTCCCCCAGTACCGCTGTCGTACTCAGTAGTACAAAGGATTACTCTGGAATTCGAGATCTAACAATATCGCGCAATTTTATAGCTTCAACTTCAATATCATCACCAACGCTGACATGTGATACGATTTCGAAAAGCGGCACTCAAACGATGAATGCAACTACTTTGAACATCAACCCTACCACACTTCAAATCAAGGGTACTACGCTCAACGCTACTGGCGCGGAGCTGAACAAGCTTGCTGGTTGCACAGCAATTACGGCTGAGTTGAACTATCTTGATCTGACTAGTGGACCAGGAACGGCGGAAGCATCAAAGGCCCTTGTACTAGACTCTAATAGCATAATATCATCAGGCATCTCATCGCTAACTTCAACCAACTTGATATCGACTACGTCCACGCAATGCCAGATTGCGGCTAATACTTCATTTACATCGGCTACTAGAGCCTCTGACTTCAATTTAATCATTCGCAACCAATCGAATACGGTTGGGGCTCAGGCTGGATTATCTTTCACGATCGAGGGAACATCAGATATGAGCTTATACACGCCTAGCGTTAATTTATATGCAACAAGAACAGCTACATCCGCTCAATATTCTATGGCTGATTTTGCAATTAGTACTCGTGGCTCTTCTAACGCTTTATCACCTATGACTGAACGTATGAGAATAACGCAAGGTGGGTATATTAGATTCGGATCATCGTCATCGACCGCGAAAATTGATATTACATCAACCGCGAATTTACTAAGCGGATCTTGGCAGCGTGCAATGAGAATCGCTAATGATCAGGCAACGCCTATCGAATTCGAAGTTCAAATTTACAATGATGTTGCTGGAGGTAGCAATGGAGTAGCTATCGGTACTACATCAACCGATCCTCTTAGATTCATGGTTGGTAATACTACCAAAGCATATCTCAACGACTCTGGACGATTGGGAGTTAGTAATACATCTCCCGAGGCAACTATTCATTCCGGAGGAGAAATCTGGGCTAATAACTTCATGCATATCAAGGGCAATGGAGATGGTTTCGCTCGTTATAGATTCAATTGGAGCCAGACTGACTACCCAGCGATCGGAACTGACTCTACGGTCGGGGCGATCCGTCTAGGCAAATGTGATGGAAACTATAACTGGACAGCCTATGTTCCGGTGAGAGGTGGTTCATATACCAATGCATCAGATCAGAGATTGAAAACAGCCATTATAGACTGTCCATACGGTCTCGAAACAGTTATGAGAATGCGACCCAGGCGTTTTAAGATGATCCAAGAGCAAACCTCACACGTCGGATTCATCGCTCAGGAGGTGAATGAGCTCATACCAGAAGCTGTGGATATCGGAGCAAACGATGATCTCAACGCTGATGGCTATCCGATTAATCCATGGGGCATTGATCTCGCAAGTCTGACATCGGTTTTGTGTAAAGCAATCCAAGAGTTAAAAGCTGAAGTCGATCAACTAAGAGCAATTATCTCTGAATGAATATAGAATGGCTCCATTCAAGTTCCGAGTATCCACTCGAAAAGGCAAAAAAATATGATGCTGTTTTTGCTGATGGTCGGATTGTATCTTTTGGTACTATTAAGCGGACTGGTGAGCCTTATCAACAGTATCGAGATCGCACATCGTTGAAATCTTACAAAGACTACGATCATAACGATAAGGCTCGCCGAGAGAGCTACTACAAGAGGCATGGACCCCTTGACGAATCAAATCTATACACAGCCGATTGGTTCTCGAAAAAATATCTTTGGTAGAGTATATATATCATGGGTTGCGTACCAAGTAAAAGGCAGATCACAAAGGATTTGACAAATCCTGAAACTGGTCAAGTCATCGGCTCAATAACGATGCGCGATGGAGTAGTATCTATTGGTGATAATGCTTATATCCCCATGCGCAATGTCCACAACGGCAAGAATGCTATCATGGCTATCGATATCGGTGATAAAAAAAATTAGAGTCTACCGTGAGAAACAAACAAAAGTATCTCTATAGAGCAAAGGTTTTCACGCTCTTCGACTTTTTTTTCGGCTGGTACGCCCATACCCGTCCACCTTCCGTTTGGGTAGCTGCTTCCACCTTCTTGATTGACTTATCGAGGTCAGTAGCCCATGCTGCTGCTTGGGTCTGTTGAGGTCGGTCATGGATGATTAGATTCTTCATGATGGACTTCAGCTCAGCAATGTTGAGATCGCTGTTGTCTCCATAGCTGCCGCCTGAACTGGCGATGATGCGGGGGTTGAAAAAGAACATAGCTATATTAGTCCGAAAATAAAAATGGCCCAAGCGATAATTAGAGTAGTAGGAAATTTCATAGTTTATAGTAATCGAGTGATAATTTCCTTGAATTCCTTATCATCAATCAGACGATTGCTGTACATATCCACCGTGAGAGACTTCAGCTGTTTGATGATGCTAGGATTACCGTTTCCTAGCTCTAATTCACCTTTCAGCTTGTCATACTCGGCGCGGAGCGTCGAAAGTGGATCCTCGAGCTTGTCGTGGAAGTTGTACTGGAGGTGAGTGATTGCTAGGATTTCCTTGAAAAGCTTCTTATCATCGATCGATAACTTATCGTATGAGGCTTGATCAATTTGCTGCTTATAGACTAAGGTTCGGATCATTCCTTGGAGACTCTCACTGATTTGACATTTTGGACCACATTTTCGGCGATTCGGCTGTACAATGACCAGTGTTTTTGCATCAAGATCGGGAATTCTGATGTATTTGCTCCCAAGTTGACGATATGTGTAAGCGCTAGGAGTAGCTAATCCCTGGATCTCGTTGAGATTGTAGGTGCGGCCTCGGCGAATTACACCTTCCAATGGAGCAACGCCTGCACCAAGCAATCCTCTTCCTTGAAGCTTTGGCTTAACTCCACTGCCGGATACCTTGCTTGCCTCGTTGTATCGCTTAGCCTTCGTTTGATATACCGATTTTGTAGCTTTCATGGCTGAAGTAGCTGCCTTCAACGCTGATCTCGCTGCTTTTGAGTTATTCCCTCTAACAGCCTCTTTTGCTTCTTCATAGCGCTTCTGAGCCTCGCCGTACGCCTGGAAAGCCGCTTCTGACTCATCGTGAAGCTTTTGCAAGCTGTCATCGTATTCATACTCTTCAACGCTTTGTTGTCTGATATCATGGACAGACTTTAGAATAGCTTCATTCAGTATCTCAAGATTATCATCCAGATTTGTGCGTCTTTCCTTATCAATCTCCTTTTCTTTAACTATCTTAGCTGCTTCTGCATCGCTCGATGGGAAGGGATATTCAACCTCACTAAGATATCGATCCAAGTCTTCAACTCCGTTGAGTAGAGACGTAAAGGTATCCATCCACATGATATTCTTCATGAGACCCTTCCAAGCTACACCAGACACCTGCTTGTATGATTTGCTTTCACGATTTAAAATATTCAGGGGTCTAGACCCCGATGGCTGTCCAAAGTAGTACGATGGATGGGGTTTAACAACTCCGCTGATTTTAACGATTGGCTGTAGACGAAAAGGAATATCAACACTATTAGCCTGCAACTGGGTGAAGTAATCAGTTAAGATATTCTTAGCGTCGTTATCAGCATTTGATAGGGTTGGGTCCATGTCTTCATCAATTCCGCTCATTAATCCATGCTGAGCTTCACCATTAACGGGGGTAAATTCATTTATGGATTTTGTCTCATTGCTACCGACAAGTTCCAAGTCGATACCTCTATCGTTAGTCATATTAATGAAAGACTGGAATGTCATAATCCAGTTCACTTTCTGAGTGATTGTCTTTCCCGTAAACGCTAATGCTATTGGCATTGATCCAAACATAGCCATCTTTGTCAATAGGAGAAGATTTTGCGGAAGCATTAAGAATTGGAACAATCTTCTTCGTCAAACCGTTAGATTCAAGTACTTCCTTATTTTTGCTAATTGTCCAAAACAGTTTCAGCTTGCTATCCATTTGATCGGAACTTGTGGATGTTCCAGTATCGAACACAAAACTATCGTCAAGCCTCTGTTTAGAGCGGTTTGAATAATCCCCTTCTGAGGCATTGGTTCTTTTTCGCTTTGAGCCAATAATTTCCCAAACCTGGTATGGACTATTTTTATCCTCTTTAGACATTTCATTACGACGCTCCTTCTCATTGACGTAAGCAAGGAATCTAGGATCACTAGTCAGTACCTCTCCAATATGATCATACGTCTCAGACCAATCAATGGATGGGACTAGTACATATTTCTTCAGTTTAATGCTAAATACCTTAGCTTCCATCCCAATATAATACTTGGTCAGTTGGCGCCCGTTGGAAGCAACAGGGTGAATATTGAGATCTGCGAGAATGGGATAAACTTCGAAGATTTTAGCGACAGCTTCCTTTGCTTTAAACTCATCATTATCTTCATCGCTAAACAAATCTTCAATTGGTCTATCCGGACCAACACCAGTATCTGTCATTCTTGCACTATTATCAATTCCAACATTAGTCATATCAGGTCTCACGTGGACCCAACCATCGCTGGTTTGGGGTTTAGCAGTACTGGATGCGTCAACGGATTGGGGCTTAGCTGTAGTTGATACATCGTTCATTTCAGGAGTTGCATTAACGGCTGCATCTACCATTGTTGAGGACTCAGGGTTTTTCTGGGAGTTTTCATCATTCAGGCTTTTTTTTAAGACATCAGCCAGACTTTTTTTTAACTCTTCCGGTGTAGCCTCGACAGGGCCAACCGAAATATTAGTCTGTGCCGATTGTGTCGTCTTCTTTGGAACCGTAGTGATCCCATTTGTGATATCAGTAGCCCACGACGTACCTTCGTACATAAGTCGCTTGGCTTTTGCTTGCCGGGCTCGGCGCCCAGCTCGTTCGAGTAGCTCCTGCCGCTTTTGCTCTCGTTGAGCGATGGATGTAAAGTTGGGAAACATCATCTAAATATATCATGGTAGTCATAAAAAATTATTTTACCATAGATTAAATATTACCAATAGCTTGGCATAACACTGTCGTGTCTAAATGGTTGATACGTATGACAGATACGGTTTCGTTCGTTGAGGAGATTGATGTATCGATCCTTGATACAATGAAACGGCATCCCAAATATTGCTTCAAGTTGCTCGCGATACTGTCGATTCGATACGGTCTTCCGGAAATTAGCTACTGGATCTAAATCTCTTAGTTCATTTTTGATTCGACTAACTTCTTGGATTATCCACAGCTTTCGTCGGAGCTGTACAAGCTCACGTTGGTTCTCTACGCAGTTGGAACACATTCTTTTATCTATATGAAGTCATATATTTATGCAATCGTTTTCAAAAAAAAATGATAGATATAGATGAGTCAAAGCTTACAGAGGATTGCTCTATTAAACTTATTTTGAAGCTAGTTCGACTCATTTTTTTATCGACTTCCAGTACTCATTCTCTAAGGTTGATCTCTTGTTCTTATTGACTAATCTAAGATTATCTTGTGGCTCCCAGGAGTCAAGTTCATTACCGAGCCACCGAACGAGATACTTGTACTTGCCGGATCGCATTTTTTTGTGGTCTAAGATCTTCTCCGCCTCTAAAATATCACCTCTGTTGATAGTAGCTTCAGATGTTTCTGCTTTAACAATTTTTAGATCGTTTGGCCCCTTGTAAAGAGTGTGTCCATTTTTTGACTTGATTTGGATGCGGTAGCCATCAATACCTACCACCGAATACACAGCCTTAGACCATCTTGCTGCTTCTTTATCAAATGTTTTCTTGTTTAGTCGATACAAAACCTTTTCACCGACCTCGAACTCGTTTTCAATCCTCTCAGCTTCGACCTGGTTGTGGACTTGTTCAGATTCAATTACCTTACCTTTAGCTTCGTTGGGGGTCATGCCAATCGATCGATGGGTCGTGCTATTGTAGTTCTCAATGACAGCAGCTACGAGCTTCTGGGTTAATCGCTTTGGTTCTATTTTTACAAGGCGCTGCTTCAGCGTTCTATTGAAGCGTTCAATTTTCCCCATTTTGGCGTGATCACCAGGCTCATTGTTGAAATGGTCAATTTTTTTAGTTTTGAAGAATTTCTGAGCCTGTTGGTTCATGAATTCTGAACCATTATCGGTTGTGATAATGTTCACTTTATGGAGGCGGACAAAAGCTTTGATCGCTGCTAGTACTATCGGGCCAGTTTTGTTGGTTAGTAGTTTACCGTAGCCTAGGCGGGAGTTGATGTTGATCGCAGTCAATATAGGTGTTTTCTCCCAAAACGCCAAGTCCATCTGCCACGAGTTGGGGTTAGTCGATGCGACATTGAACCCATCGTATCGCTTCTTCTGCTCCTGAAATCGCTGAATATCGCTCTGGTTTGAGTACCATTCCTTGACGATTTTCATCGTAATCTTCGGCTCCAGTTCTTTAGCCTTCTGGTACAAGGCTTGGGCACCCACATAGCCCGTTTTGGGGTCATAGTATAATTTGGACAACAGCTGATCCATCCCTCTATATGGTTATAAAACAAAAACAAATCCCCTGCCAGGTAGTTGCTTATATGTCGAGCGGTTCGGTGGTGATACCATCCGCAAGTACACGGCGCTTGTCATAGTAGTAGTTTAGAGCTGTTTTAGTTTGGGTGTATGTAATGATTGACTTACTCTCCTTACTGAGTCTAAACCCCTTGTTGGTACCCTGTAGCGTGATGCGATCGCGAACACCTGATTCAAATCCATCTGGGTTGAGGACATCACCGTTGCGGTCACCGCTCTGCTGGACTCCCTTCGCTGAAACCTTGACCTTGTAAGATTCGTCTGGTAGGTAGCAAATGTAGTTCTTAGAGGACAATGATACCATAGCATCACCAGACCACTCTTCCTTAAATAAACCAGGGGCTTGACGGTCAAACTTGGCTACAGTCTCATTATAGTCGCGCGGGAACCACTCATACTTGTGCTGCTGAGAATGCTCACGAAGCTCAGGCTTGATGCACTCCTCAAATGGCTTTTCACAGCTGAAAGCGATGTAGCCAGAGTCGGTGTCCATCTCCTGATACTGAAAATTTGAGCGGTCGAAGTAGAAGTCAATACAATCGTAGTAGAACTCGAGCATGCGGAGCTTAGCGAGCTGATAGATTGCAATTGAGAGATGAATTGGGTTCTTGTTGTTGAGCTTTCTCTTCTTCATTGTGAATTCACATGAATCATTCAACTCTTCCATTCCATGGAAGGTGAAGTGCTCAATCTTCGATTTAATTGCCTTCTCATCCGACTCATACTTGACCTCCTTATGCTTGCTCATGTCCATGCCACTGCGACCGAACGCTGAATTACCTACTAGTTTCATCATCTCAGCAATCATGGCCTTAGACTTATCGGCATCACCTTCCCGTCGCGCGTTCGATACGGCTTCCATGAATGGAGCAAATGCCTTGTGAGAGCTAGCCCTGATGAAGCTGTAAGTCTTGGTGATCTCCATGCCATGAGAAATGTACCATTTGAGTAGCGGTGCATAAATGAGGATCTTCTCACCAAAGTAGCTCCCGATGAGTTTGCGAGCCGGCTTTGCTCGGCTTTGCTTGCGCTCCTCGTTGTACTCGAACATGTGCTGACCGATGACACTCCGATCGCTGCAGTCGATAAGGGTGTTCTTGAAAATTGGGGTCATTTCACTGAGATAGGGTTTGAGATGCTCTGGTGTACGGATATCACACTCTAGGAAGCCAAAGATCTTGCCATTTACAATATCATCGACGATCCCTGTGTATGCCTCGATGGTGGTCAACCGTCCACGTGGCATCTCGTTACCAAGAGCCCACAAATACAGAGCATTAGCATCGTAGCCGATGATCTTTTTGCAGATCTTACCCCCTCGAATCTTGGTTTCGTTGCGTTTTGCGTATCTGTTGAAGATGATAGAAGGACCACCAGCAATGTTCGCCTTCATCTTGGTGTAGATGTCCTTCTCCTCTCTATCGATATTGTACACCAACCTGTCTGAGTTGAATTCAAGTAGCTTCTTGTGGCGGAAGCCCTTTAGCGACATGTTCTTGCGAGCAACGTTGCATCCCACACAGCTGATCAAGATATTACCATCGATGTGTCCGAGCTTGTTATTGATTCGGTCAGCCGAGGCAGTATCAGCTGTGAGTTGCTTGTAGCATAGCCCACACAGGTACTTTTGTCGCTTTAGCAAGTCCTTGAGGTGTTCTAGCGTCATATTGAATTCACGATCGGCATCAGCATCCTGGGTCTTATATCCACTTAAGCGACTAGCGGGAAAGTCAAACGCTTCCGCAGGCTCCTTACTTGGTTGCTGGAGGTTGTTGAAGCACGTCTGATACATGACTTTCTCAGAGAGACCAGGTAGCGACACACCATCAGCGAACATATCAAGTTCGAAACGTTTGAATAGTTCTCGCTGGGCTTTGATGGCCTTGATGAAGGGGACTACATCGAGGTTGTTGTACCAAATGAGTAGATCCTTGATTGACTTCATGCCATAGTGTCCCCATACGAACTGTACCCGCGCAAAGTCCTCATCACTGATGCTAGTGCTACGGAGAGTGCTGTCGAATGCCGACTTAGGAGGGACTTCCGACTGACTGAGTACGTCAAATGACGTAATGTACTCGTACGGGAAGATACCTTTTCCTAGGCCACAGACGCATCGAATCTTGTCATCACACTTGCACTCACCGAGATATGTCGACAAGTACTTTGCATAGCTGGTGCCTGCCGGAACATAGTTGCTAATGTCAAGCATCTTCATGTCTGACGTGGCGATGCACATGTAGCTAGGGTTCTTGATGACTGATGTGATGTTGTCAGTACCGATGACTGCAAACAGGTCCGCCTTGATAAGGTTGATGTCGTATCGTCCAGAGTTGAATCCGAGTACTGGTACCTGATCAATGCACTGCTTCAGCTTACCATAGTCAGAGCGCTTCTTACCGAATGTGAGCTTGCTGTGGAGATCGAAGAAACTAGCAAAATCTCCGTTCTGAATCCAAGCATTGACATCTTCCATCTTGTACGTCTTACCCAAGTCTAGGCCAGGAACCTCAGCGTCAGTCAAACCATGGACGTTGATGATCTTGTGTAGCAAAGGCTCATACTTCGAGACGTTGTACCGCTGAATCTTAGCCGCAACTTCCTCGATGTACTGGAACATATCCTTGAGCAACTCCTTTGGATCATCGCTGACAAAGCATCGCACCTCCTCAGTCAAGCTGTTGGCTACGGAAACAGACACAGGGATGTGTTCGTTTGTGAAGATAGTATTCTCTCCGTGTTTGACACCCGTAGGCTTGAGGATAGCCTCAAAATCATATACAATGAAGTGATCGATGTAATGGTCAGCATCCTCGATGGAGTACTTAGTCAGTAGGGAACGAATGCTATTCGGAGCGGGTTGGTAGATGGTTGGCTGAGCTGGGAACGATTCGATGTTCACGAGTTCACACTGGTTCTTGGTGTGGTTGCGTAGCTTATCAGAGCTGACAAACACCATCTCACACTTAGAGCATTGGTACTTCTGCTGGAGCATATCAATGTTCGTGATGTAGAGAGCGTGATTCTCGTGCGACAGGATGTTGATCGAATCATAGTCCTTGTCCGAGCGGCGAATGCATTCAACCTTGCCCGTCTCAACATCCATGGTGAAGACGTTGATGTTCAGCTTGAAGCACTCCTCAAGCTCATCGAATTGGAGAATATCGATAGGCTTGAAATTGCGGAACAGACCCAGAGTGTAGGTGATCTCCTTGTACGAACAGTACTGCTTGAAGGCTTGTTTCACCAGAGCCTGGATTCTGCGTGGATCCTTCTTCGCCCCCTCCTGCTTGTGATAAGCAATGCAGTGGAAGACACACTTGTTATTCGTCTTGGGGAAGTTGATGACGTGCTTGTTATCGCGGATCACCTTAGGAATGACAGCCTCACTATCGCCCAGCGCATGGTCGCGCTGGTAGATATAGATTTTGAAGCCAGTAATACCCTTCACCATGTACCCGGATCTGGGGTAGTTGAGCTTGTCAGCCAACTCCATGGAGCGAATCTCCGAGATCACCTTCTTACGAATATCAGCCTTGCTGTTGATAGCCACAGGAGTGCTAAATACAGATGTGTTGCTAATATTCGGGTGGAAGTAGCGAGTCTCGCTGTCATCGGTTCTGCTGACAAGCTTGTATCCAAGAGCGATGTTGACCTTGAAGGCAGACTTCTGGGTTGCAAGCACGTTCTCAAGCTTGTCGTAGAAGTCAGCAGGCTGGATTCCCTCATATAGGTGCGACTCCATGTGTTTGCCTTGGTAGAAGCGGTACTTACTGTCTTCCTTGAAATCAGCAGCCAAATTCTTTTGGATCTTGCCTAGACTGATCTTGTACTGCTTCGCTACCAATTTTTGGTTGATGGGGTGGGAAATGTTGCTAATGTATACCATGCGCCCCGTCTTGCCACGTACCTTAATACGGTAGCTGCTACCCCATCGGATTGGGTTAATATTTAATCTCTTAAGACCTTCAAGCTCGTATGCGAACATTGCTATATATCGGTGGCTATATTATTCTCCGAAAAAACGACTTTATAATATTGGGTCTTGTATCAGGATTGACTTTATATCATAGGCGACTTTTTATCCGAGGAAAAAAATTAATTATTAATTAAGTTCGGTTTCATTATTAAGTTCGACTTCACCATCAATAAGTTCGGTTTTGGGTTTACGCTTGCGAGCTCGAATCTGGTCTCTATTCTTGTCATCGTAGTCTTTTTGATAAGATAAACGGGCTTCGCGTGTGCGCTGGTAGTAGCGCTTCTGCGCTGCTTTGATACGTTCCTTGCTAGCTTGGTATTGCTCAGGAGAGTACGCCATCGTTGTATATTAATAACTTTATATTTATCAGGATCAAAGTACCGTAATCTAGGTGTTAAGTGTCCGGAGTTGTTTAGTGTCACCCCGTTGATAGAGCCAATCAGATGCGGTGATTTGCCTACTCAGATTAGGATTTGCAGCGATATGTTTAGTGTCACCCGTGGCGGAGCCCACACTCTCTGCCAGAACCAACAACCAACCACCATTAATTCGCACTCCAGAACCAGCAGTCAAGCGCTCACAACACCAAGGCAGCCACAGCATGAGAGGAAGACTAGCGAAGTTCCTGCAGCACTTCTTCGGACATCGCTGCCGCGAGGATGATCCCGTCATGTTAGTCTGGGACGACTTCAGCGCCCACTGGACCGCTGAAATCGTCGCTTACGCGGCTGAGAAGAATGTGGTACTGGAACGTGTGCCCCCAGGTTACACCCACTGCTGCCAACCCGCCGACATATCCTGGAACAAGCCCCTTAAGGATGGCATGCGAGCGGCTTGGGCGGCGTATCTGAAGGCAGAGTGCGCAAAGGTGCTGGTGCGCGGTGACGGGAAAGAGATGGCCCCGATCGTAAGCGTGTGCTACGATGGCTACAGCAAGCATGGAGTGGCCTCAGTTCTGCTACAGTGAAAGGTGGGTTCAAGCACATTGACATTCTCTTTGACGGGCGTGTAAACACGCCGAGTATGCTTGTGCAGCCGGACGAAGTGGACGACGAGCTGGTGGCGTCGCTAGAGGGCCTCTCATGGATCGATTCTGAGGTAGGTGACGTTTGCTGGGACGACGACATCGTAGATCGCCACATTTACAGGGAGGAAGATTGTTAACCAGCTAAATACATCACAGTGTGTGGATTAATTGATATCTGATTCTGCATGTTGCTTTTATCATGATCTTGGGATTTGCCTGAAGGTGGGGGGGGGTGACACTTGACACCTAGATTACGGTATGTCAAGAAATCAAATACTACTTCGAAGTATTTAACTCGGGAGCCACATTATTCCATTCAATCGACCGCAGGAGTCATATCCCAAAAGCTTCTCCAACGCTCCGCATTATCGTCGTGCTTCCACCTCATGCACAAACAAAATGTTTCTGGATCCTCCACGTGAACAAACGTCTTCATCATGAGCGGATCGTCCGTCCTGGTTGATCCTCCTTTCAAACGACTGAAAACGCGATCTGTGCACTGAGCATCCAGAACCTTCACGAAGACCTCGACCTACACGCAAATGTCAGTAAACTTACACACACCAGAACTACGCGCTCACACAGTACCTTGCGTCTGTTGCCAATGGATTGATTCTCTTCAACAGATCCGGGTAGCATGTTGACGATGGGAACCTCAATGCTCATACCGTCGAACCAACCATGCATTTCGCGAGAAAGCGCAAGCCTGTTGTTTGAGTCGCGATCGTACTTGGCGAATTCCCGTTTGTGGTCTCTGCTTTGCTTTCTCGACACCAAATGGCAGCTTTCTGCCTTGCCGTACGGTAGGAAGAACTTCTCGTCCTCAATCCGCTGAAAACGAAACTCGTCAGTCGATGAGTCCAGATTCGAAACGCTTGTAGTCAACGATATCGATGAAACTGTGTTTTGAGGAGATTCCGAATCGTCTGGAACGTAGTCGCAGTAGAAGACGCGCTGGAGATCAGTAGACACAGCGTTAGCTGGTGCAACACGCGTCTCAACAACCTGGTTAGTTAACGGAGAGCCCAGCGTTTGTGGCCCAGTCCTTAAGTCAGTTTCGAACAGCAAAGCAGCATCTTCTATAAAAGAAACAGAGTTAGCCCTCAATGAAGCAGTATTACGATGCAGCGACAGCATATAGAAGCACGTACTTGTCTCGAATAAAACATGAAAACACAATTTCTTGTCTTCATACCAAAACGCGACATTCTTGTTGCCGATGCAGCGCGTAGGATCGTAGTATCCAATGCGTAACGTCGCCATCCAGTACAGTTTGCAGCGAATCCCTTTCGTGTTCAGCGCGTTGTCAACGGATCCAGTGACAAGCCACAATCCAGTTTGTGCGTGTTCTTGCTCCGGAACCACCACCAGCACGTGGATCTGATCGGTAGAGGGTGGAGGCATCTCGTTCTTCTCGAACAACCAGTGCTGCAAAGTCTTCGTCGCCTTCATCTTCTCTCCATCGATCAACGCTTGAATGTCCTCATGAATCTTTCCGTCCTCCAGATCCAGCGCAGCTTGGTCGTCGTCTGGCAGCCACGCGCCGTCCGCCGTCTTCGCCAGGAAGAGCTGCAGGTCACCTGCATCGATGTCCTTCAACTTGTTCGTCTTCTCCACCTTGATCGCCTTCTTCAGGTCATCCACCAAGTCGCTTTCGTCCACTCGCACCGAGAACGCGCTGCCCGCCGCGCCAACGATCGCACAGCAGAGCTTCACCATCTTTCCTCAAGCCGGCAGATTCTGGAATGAGGAAGAAGGGAGGGAGAATTTTTGGCGTACTTAAGCGGACATGAAGGTGTGTGACATAGATTTTCAACCAATGATGAGACGCCACGTCGCGCTGGTCCAAGCTAATCCTTGAGGTGAAAATCTGCCGGCGTAATGTTCTATTGCTTTTTTATTAATGTAGTTAGAACGTTGTCGGTCGAGCGGTCCCGAAATGCCCTAAGAAACAAAAGACGTGGCTCTCGCTATAAGGCGGTCGAGAGGTTGCGTCGTCAAAATAGCAGCTGCTAGATCTCAGTACTTGAGCGTTCTAAAACTACCCTAATATCGAAAAGTCGTGGCTCTCGCTCTAAGGTGGTCGAGAGGTTGCGTCGTTGAAATCGCTGCTGTCCCGAAAGAAGGTTTCAGGAATGTTCTCGGTGGTTAATTACGGTAAGAAATTATGAAAATAAAAAACTGCCGGTGTAATGTGCTGCGACCTACTACTAACGCTTGGAGGTGTGAGAGTGTCTGGGAGGGGTACCAGTGGCACCATGGCCTCCATTCGACTTACCTATGTGTCTATAGTGTAGATTATAATGAGAACGGCTCATAAATTAGCGTCTGACTCATCGTTCCTTGATTCCTACGTCGCTCAAACCCTCCCAATACGAAAATTTGTAATTTCTGTAAATATAGCAACGCCTTCCAAAACTGCTACTTTGATGTGGTACACACTATACTATTTTCGGATTCGGACAAATCGGAGTCCGAAAAGAAGGCCCCAAATCCGGATTTACGAAATCGAAATCCTAATCCGAATTCCAAAAAAGATACGATTGCCCTATTTTTGTAGCCGTAACCGTACCGGATTCGGATTCGGACACTTGCGAAAGCTCTCTATTGCTTTTATATAGTTTGGCCGAAACGCCCTGATTATATCCCGTCTTTTCGAAAAGACGTGGCTTTAAAGGACGGGTCTCAGCGTCATTGGATGCTTCATGTTGCTCCCTCATGCAGTGAGGCGCAAGCACACCCTGAATAAGCTCTAGGAAAGGAAGGCTGTAGCTGAAATACCTAATTATGATACTACCGTACCTCACAGAAAGAGACAGAATGCCAAAACAAGATTTTTGTGCTTTTTCTTAACACAAAGAAAGCATTTTCAAATCGCTGGTTAACATAAAATTTGAAGCGTTTGAGCTTCGCCTGCCGAATACTAGAGCAGCAGGCCTCGGTGTGGAAGATAGAGTAACTGTTTGTTTGGCCGCCTCGGACAGTCCCGCAGCCTAATAACGAACTAACGCCGTGTATACACGGAGAAGCTCTGGATTTTTTACTAGCGTTAGCGCAATATACTGCCAGTTGCTAGCGTGTTGTTCATCATCCACCTCTCAACTAGCCAAGTCGATTGCTTCGACTCGAAGATTTTCTTGAAGAGCATACGGACGAGGCTTGAAATATTGCAGGAATTCTAAGGAGAGTGGCTCCATTAGATACAGTTGCCGTAGATTTTTCACCCTCGTTACGGCAACGTAGAATGATGATCGTTGCGGTGCATGTCGTGTAGGGTGGCGTAGCGGTCCAAGTATCATTTTCTCTACGGTCAGTCCTTGGCATTTCTCACTGATCAGTGCAAACGAGTCAAATGGGGGCTGGACAAACCTCAAAGTCACCGATGCTGACAGCGACCATCACCGCCAAGAATAAGAGGACAGTCAAGAAGAAAAAAGTCGAGCCCGAGCCTGAAGTAAGATTCAAGCCATACGGCAACCTGCCATCCAGCGCCAACGCCCGTAAGTACTGTCCTTGCCTGTTGTCGAGGGATGGAGATACGAGAGCCGAAACAGTAGTGTGACTGTGTCATGTTTGTTTTCTTTCACATTTTTTTCTTTAAATTTTTAATAAAAGTCACAACTGATTTCGTGTTAGCTATAAAACGTTACCTCTGCTTCATCTACTACTTGGTCATGCCGAGAAAGTTTCAGCGACTTGTATGCGTTAGACCTGACTCAGACCCGTTGCAATGGCGTCATACCGGTTAGTATTCTTAATATTGCTCTTCATTTGCATGATAAGCTCTTTTTCAGTAGTTACCCAGAGTTAGACGTTCTAGTGGTAGTCAACGGGATACGTGTGTTTGGGTCTACGTTGGAGTTCGTCAAAGCCTGTACTTTGCCGTTGATAAGTTTTGAGTATCCGGTAAATGCGACGCAGATGATCCTGGCGTTGTGGGTACCACCACGGAGCTTTAGTATTTCTGTCACGTAGCGTTAGTAAATCCCAGTGTTGACTCTGCTGCAACAGTACTGCTACATTACCGGACATTTGCAACCCAGGTTGTATGTCTAGAAATCACCAGCTCTGATTGGTCAGCTGCACGGTATCGACCACGATTGTTGTTGGTGTCACAGCCAAATGGTACGGTATCGTTTGCAACTTCGGTTGCAGCCGCGACATGGCTTCAAACCCACGGAGCATGCTACTGTGCGGCAAGTATGGCCTATTACATGAGAAAATATTTGAAATGGCGACATAACTTACATTGTGCGTTCTCTCTTTTGCGGTGAGAGCTGGGTAGAGCGCGCGTCTGAATCCTATCTAGTAGCCGTAGGTGAGGAAGTGATAGAGTAGCCTGCATGAAGTAGTACGGGTTGTGCAGCAGCACCAGGAGGGAGCGGAGAAAGCTCTACCGGTAGTTTCGCCACCACAACAGGCCTTCAGCACCGGCGTGTGCAGGCACGACAGTATGGGCTCGTTCGACCGGTCATGGAAAGCTCTAGGCCGCCGTATGCGGCGACACGGCTTACCACGGGTGATAAACGCTTTGCAACCCTGCATAAACGAATTAACTTGAGTTTTGTATGGTATCTGCCACACGGCGCCGTTTTGCTACCGTGACTTGCAGTTTGTATAGGAGTTGAGTAGCAAAACAGACTAATACTTGCTACCGTAGGCGCAGAGTCACAGGATCGGCATGAAGGGGGCCAGCAGCAGCAGCGTGCCGCGTGAGCTGTTGTAGCTCTGTCGACGGGAGTTGAAGGAGTTGAAGGAGTTCAAGGGCCTGGTCATTATCGCAGTCAGTATTACATCCCCGAGAGTTGCTATAGTGCATTGCAAAGAGGTGCTCGCCGTCAGTACTACTCCTAAAAGTGTTATCCAGCTCATTTCACAGCTGCGCTGCTCATACAGCTACCTCAAAGTGCTTCAAAGCGACGGCAATGTTACACATTACCTGCTAATCAATTTTCAACCAATGAGACGACGGTTGCAAAGCTGGTTGCTGGACTGGCTGGTATTTCTACAGTATTATAGTGGAAATCAGCTAAGGAGGGTAAAACTACCTTATATCCCATTAGAATTTTTAAATATGTGAAATTAACACAGCTTTACCCACGTACATTCAAACGACATTTCTGGGTATTTGCGTGAATGTCAAGACCACAGGCAACATTCACCAGGGTTATTTCGTTGTACACCGGTTATCTGATATTACAGTCGCATGAGATAAGTATAATATGTAATCAGCGCTATCATTACCATACATGGAACCCTTGAACAAGTTTAAGAAGGAATACCACCCAACAGGACGCGTTATCGGAATGTTCTCATGATATAACAGGTTGATCAAGTTCTGAGATTATTTGGGTACGAAGTAACGACAATTCTGCGTGAGTTAAGTTTGGGCTCCTCGGAAGTATACGAAATAAAAGTTAGTTTGGGTTCGAGTGCCATCCTCGGAGAAACTCTGGATATAAAATCCAGAGAATAACGAACTTTGCCAAGAGCACATGGGCCAACCGCAAGCCAACGAGGTTTACAATTCCCTCCTCTTGAATCAGACAGCTCAGCCCTGAGTAGATCATTTTCCAGCTTTTGAAATTACGGAGCTACATTTTAACACCCTGTCTCTGTAACAACCCGAACCTTTTCGCACTTTTTGGATGGCAAGTGTAAATTTCCAACATTTTTAAATCGGTCTCGCTTAGAGTTCAAAGGAAAGACCCGATCAAGAAATGGTAGATGCAGCCTTTGTAGACTCGCAGCACTGAAAATGGAGGAGATACGATGGATCAAAGAAGCGAGACCTGATATGTGTCTCGTCAATGAGGCCCTTCGTCGACGGGTATCGCAATCAATGTATGACATTTTGACCGTAACTCGTCCATTGTGGGCATAAAACAAACTACAATGTAGCCATAATGGACAGAAAAGGCACATTTCATTTACACATTTCGGCAGATTCCGTAGTTCCTTGCCCATTCATACCTTCTACTTGCGCTACGAAGGCGGAACTTCACAGTACATCTTTTTATGCTGTCAGCACACTATGTGCCAAATTTCAGCTCAATTGAGCTCTCGATCATAGGGCTTGTCATCTGGGGGGTGCGGGCAGGCTGGGATACCGCGTGTTAACATGAAGAATGCATATTTGCTATAACAAGAAAGGTATTAATACGGTATACCGTGTTAAACTTGCCATAACCGGGGTCCTATATTGACCAGATACCTTTTCTCTGACTTCTGTCATTTTCCCAAGAGACCAGCACCTTACTCTTGACCTTGATGACCATGTATTCGCCTGGGTTGGTCAAGGTGTCAGAACATATACGGCACTGACTTGGTACGTCTAAAGCCGTGTACTTGTGGTTGCAGCGCGAGAAGGAGCCCCTATATAAACGCTACCGGCAGTTTGGCGACGAGTCGTCGCCAAGCTTTGCCGACGAGAAAGATCGGGATGGTGAACTTGAAGTGGACGATGTGAACAAGTGGAGCGCGGGGCTCCCGCCGGGAGCGCGCCAGGTGAAGGGCTCGATCGATTTACCTGTTTGCGAACTGGAGTTGCCCCAGACCACGGCTGACGGCCCCCATGAAAGCGCTGCGCACCCGCAGCTACGCGTAAGCAAGCATACACATAACCCTCGGTGGCATTTTTGTTGACCCGGTGAGGCTCACCGTGAGACGATTCAGGGGTCTAGGCGGTCTAGTAATACTTCATTGCTAGAATTCGTCGGGGTTTCTCCCAGGAGGACATGTCCGTCTGCTTGTTGACATAGGAGAGCTTGCCAGCGCCTCGTCCCATTGCTCGATCCACGCGCTCAGCTTCGGCGCGTTCGGGTCGGTCTGCTTCTTCTTCTTCTTCTTGCCTGAGTCGGGTCTGCTCTCGCTCGGCCTCCTCAGCCTCCTCGTGCTGCTGCTTGGCGAGCTGCTCCTGCAAGATGCTCTCCTCATCTCTCATGGCGCTGTCGACGATGGTCGCGCCCGCCGCGATCTTGTCCGCCAGCTTGTGCGTCTTAGCCAGGATCTTGGCCCCCGTCGCGGACTCGGCCACCGTCTGCTTCAACTTTGTACCCAAATTTTATTAAATGACTACAGAAACTAATTCAGGGCGCACAAAACATGCGGTCCTTCCTCAACAGCCACGCCGTCCGAGGCTTGATAGGGTACTTACCTATCAACAGCGGCCGCAACCGCTGCTGACGTACCAGTACCATGGGCGGCCAGGTCGACGAGAAAGAGCGCAACGGCGACTTTTGTCTCGGGTGGGAGGTCGCTTGCTCCGAGCAGGCGACCCATGTCAGCAATTTAGAGATCGGTGAGCTCCGATGTAGCAGATATTATTTTGGCCAATCGAATTGTAAGTGTGGACCACACTTAATATTTTCTGGCGATCTACTGCATTTTCATGTGGAACCGAGAAGTACTGGGCGAAACTGGTTTGTATGTTGTGCGTCCGAATTGGAAATGAGACCTTGAATGAAGTTGTTGCTGCTTGGTAACGTTGCGCTAGTCTGGTGGCGGCAAGGAACGTGCACTTTAGCGTTGTGGTGCTTGTCGAGGAGACGTCGATGTTGCAGTTGGAGCTGTCCTATCGATACAACCCCTTTCTGCTAGGATCTGCTGGTGGAGCTCCAAAGTTGTGACTCGCTGTCGCACGAACGATTACGCCAAGATGCTGGAGCAGAGCAGTCGAGTGAAGCGGACTCGGCCATTTGATTTATTTCACATAGATCGGCCCGATGTGACAGGAAGGCGAGTGCGAGCTGATCCAATGCTCCAGCGCGGAGCCCATGACATGGGCCATGTGCACAAGGAAAAGCGATGCAGAGTTTGCAGCCTTCGGCGGGGAGCTGATCTCGTTCCAACCCGTCGATGCTCGTGACGAGGTCCCTGCTTTGAGGACGCGTCAGTGACTTATGCCACTTCAACATGGATATCATTCAGCTAACAAAGATCGGGCAGATTGTATTTACGGGCAGCATACATGTACATTATCACCGACGCTGCTTGGAGTTGGAAAGTGCCGACTACACCATGCGTGGTGCCATTTGCACCGCATGCCACAAAGCTGAAATCTCTGGGCGGCTCCAGGGCGAACGCTTCCCGATGTGAATGGGACCCCCTTGCCGCGGGTGACAATCGCATCGAGGGTCAAGTTGCGTGGAGTAATCTGGCATAACAGGGCCATTTTTAATTGAGCTTCAGCTTGTGTGATGTCCATCCGTGCTGCCAAAGTGTTGCAACGTGTTGTGAGCCCCACACGCTTGGGGTTTGGTCGCGACTGTGCTGATGCAGCCCGAAGTCCGTCTGGCCGTCAGTGTCCAAGCGTAAGACACTGCGCCGGTGCGTGCTCGACTGGCAGCACGCCTATTTTATTTAGGGGAACTAGTACGATGTCAACCACCGACTAACTACAATACACGCCTACGTTACGTGCACAACTTGAGTTCCGCTCGTGCGCCTGCTCAAGGCACTCGGGTGTACGCCCACACGCACATACCCTACTCGTCGCAGTCGTCAAGAGACTTGGACCTCGACTACGAGCCTGCGATCTACATACGTGAAGGAAGTGAGTTGCTCTCTCAGTTGCGTGATCAGTTGGTTATGCTTCCTGAGATGCGTGACTTGACCCCTGAGTGCAAGATCGAGGAGGCAGATGTTGGAGTCCCTGGGAAAACGACGCCCGAGATGGTAGACCAAGTGAGGCGAATTCTGGAATATCATCGGAAGATCTTCTTGGGAGACGGCAATGCAGCTCCCCCACCTGCCCGTGGAGTGGTTTGTGACCTGGATGTAGGCGGCGCTAAACCTGTTGCCCAGCGTCCAAGGTCCATTGCACCACACCTGTGAACTAAGGTGTATGAACTTCTGAAGAAGCTTCTGGAGAACGGGCTGATCGAGGCGTCTACGTCCCCCTGGGTATCTCCAATTGTGATCGTCCTCAAGAAGAATGGCGTGGACAACCGGATGTGCATCGACTATCGCGTGGTGAACGGCTTCATCAAGCTCTCGCACTACCCGCTGCCGCTTATTGATGATCTTTTGATTGGCTTTGAGTCGGCGATGTGGTTTATGAGCTTGGACATGACGAGTGGTTTCTGGGCTATCAAGATGACCGAGAGAGCCAAGTTGATCTCTGCGTTCGTCTGTCCCTATGGGCACTACCAGTGGGTCAGGATGCCGTTTGGCCTCAAGAACGCGCCGTTGATCTACCAGGCAGTTCTCAATAACTGTCTGTAGGGATTTCTGCGGCTTTCCCCTGAGGAAGAAGCTGAGGTCGACCAGGATGTCTTGGACTTTTTGGGGTTGAACTCTGGGGAACCCAGAGTTTCAGGTGAAAATGCACCGCGACTTTCAGTGTTGACGGACGAGATGACTGTTTTTCAGCGTAACATCCCGGCTCCCTCTCAGATGAGCCCTGTCCTGGGTCGAAGCTCGTATATCGACGACATCGCCCACGGTGCGCCTACTTGGGATCAGCTGTGCCAGGATCTGAACGCGCTCCTTGTCCGACTACGTGACTGGAATATCTCTGTGAGTCTTCCCAAGAGTGAATTCGGGAAGTTGTCCATTCCGTACCTCTCTCACGAGCTTAGTGCTGAGGGTATCCGGGCGACACCTAAAATCGCGAAGGGGGTCCAAGACTTGCCGTTCCCGACGACACTGAAAGGCGTCCAGAGTTTCATGGGGAGTCTGAATTACTACAACAAGTTCATTGAAAATTACCCGTGATCGCGGCTGTCCTGTACGAGCTGACTGAGGAACAAGTGAAATTCAGGAGAGACCTCTCGAGAGCCCAGGAAGCCTTTGAAATCCTGAAGCGCAAGATTGTTTCGACTCCGTTACTCAGACATCCTGATCGTTCAAGGCCCTTTGTGATTATTCCACACGCGAACCCGTGGGCAGCATCCGCTGTGTTGGGCCAAGAGTACGACGGGATTGTACATCCGGTTCGATTCACAGGTCGCGTCCTGAATGACGCTGAGTTGCGGTATCACATTGCGGAGAAGGAGGTGATTGCTATCCTGAGGGTCCTGGAGGTGTTTCGCACTGGTTGAAGGCAGCCCTAAGATCGTTGTGTACACGCGATACTCTGTGTTGAAGTGGTTGCTGACTTCGCAGTCGGCAGACGGTCGAACGGTGAAGTGGGGTCTGAAGTTGTCTCACTGGAACTTAGAGATACGCAGAGTTCAACGAGATGAAGACGGCTTGGCTGCAATCCTGGGTGCGGGTACTACCCCCAGAGAACACTTGGATGAGATCGCTGAAAACCTGATCCCAGCCAAGGGGCGCGTCAAACCTCCAGCGCCCATCAGTATGGAAATGCTGGAAGCGGATGTATTCTGAGTTTCGATGGCGCCGCTAAGACCTCTACGCGACAAGGGAGCTGCGGCTGTATTCTGTGGCATGTCCTCGGTTGGGAAATCCTGGATGCCCAGGGATTCATCCTGGAGGACGTGACTGTGAATGATGCTGAGTATCATGGACTTTTGAAGGGCCTCACTCTGGCGATCGAGCGTGGAATTCAGGATATCGTTGTGGTTGGGGACTCCAGGATTGCCATCCAGCAAGCCCAAGGTCTCATCAACTGCAATCAGCCAAATCTCCAGAGGAAGCTGGCCGAGTATGAAGTGCTGAAGACGAAGTTCAAGTCTGTGCGGCTGGTGCATGTCAAGCGAGAGTTCAACCAGGCAGCAGACTACCTGACGTCTAAGACCCTCGCGCTTGGTGAATCCTGGAAGGTGGAGGATTCTGACGAACGAACACATCTTCAGTTGGTGTCCAAGATTCACGAGAAGTTGGTGAAGCCGAAGGTGTTATTGAACGTTGGAATTCAGGGGAGTGATCCTCAGGGTGTCGAAACTCTGGGGATCCCTGGACCTGAGTGCGCTCCGCTGCCTGTGGCGGCTAAAGTGTTCGCAGTAGTGACTCGGGCACAGACTCAAGTGACCGAAGCCCAAAGCGAACCCATGGGACCTCTGGATACCAGGCTGAACGCTGGCGACGCATCAAAGTGCACCAGGACAAAGCTGATCACTTGCTGCGACTCAAAGATTTCCTGAGGGGCGACACGACGAAGCTGTCGCACGCTCAAGCCAGGAAACTCGCCAAGGTCGCCGACGATTCCGTGTTGGATTCCAGAGGAAGTCCTGTATCGCCTGAGTCGGTCTACCAGAGATCGACCCCGAGACATGATCGACGAACTCAGACTCGTGGTGCCGAAGGCTCTACAGTCTGATATCCTACACTACGCCCACGAAGATTTTCAGGGTGGACACCAGGGGATCACGAGGACGTACGAGAAGCTGCGCTCTGACTTCTACTGGCACGCTGACGTGGAAGTTTTCGTCAAGGAGTGCGTGGATTGTGTCAGCGGCAAGGGGCGCCCTCAGAATCCAGGACCTTCCCCTGGGAACATCGAACCGAGGCGCCCTTTTGAAGTTGTGTCCATGGATTTCGTGACACATTTGCCTAAGTCGGACCGTGGGAACACGTTCCTGTTGCTTTTCAGGATGCGTTCTCAGGATTCGTCATGTGTAAACCCATGAGTTCCACTACAGCTCAAGATGTCGCTGAGGTGTACGAGGAGCAGGTTTTCAGGAGATTCGGTGCGAGCTCGATGCTGAGGCACGACCAAGACCCTAGGTTCATGAGCGAAGTGTTCACACGCTTCCGTGAACTTCTGGATAGCAAGCAGCGGGCCACTGTGGCGTATCGTCTCCAGGCGAACGGGCAACAAGAGCGGTCGGTGCAGACCGCCGTGGGAAGCATTCGAGCGTACATTGCGGAGGCGGACCAGAGTGACTGGGACGACCATGCTGAGCGCTTGATGTTTGCCCTGAATACCTCGTTCGATGCTACTCGCCTGGACGCTCCATTTTTTCTGGTGCACGGCTGGGACGCACATGGCACTGTGTCTGCAATGCTGGGACCGAGGCCTTCAAGCATCCAGGAGCGCACCGCGTACGAGTGGCGCAGGAAGCTACAGCGTGACTACAGTTATGCACAAGCTTGCGCTGAGGATCTCCAGAAGAAGGCCAAGCGGGCGCGCTCTGCCGAACAGACCAGGAAGTGGAGAGAGCTGTCCGGACGACTGAAGTCGGGATTCGCGGCTGGCGATGCTGTGTCGCTGTACATACCCAAGGTACAGCCCGGGCTGAGCCGCAAACTGGCTCACATGTGGCATGGTCCCTTCAGAATTTAGGAAATCCATGACAACTTCCGCGTGAAACTCAGTGTCGAGAGAACAGGATATCGCGTGAACCCCCGAGTACACGTGAGCCGTTTGAAACCCAGAGCACTGTTCCCGAAGCGGCCCGGCGTGAGATCGATGTGGGTGAGGACGATGATTTCGATGCAGCACTGCTACCTGAGGATAACTGGGAACCAGACACTGCGAACGACGAGTACGAAGTTGAGCGAATCCTGGATTTGCGCTGGACTAAGCGGACCCGGTCAGCGAGACGTATTTGCGAGTACCTTGCGAAGTGGAAGGGGTACGATGAGGCCGAGTGGCTGCCTGTGTCGAAGCTCAACTGTGGCACCCTGCTCTACGAGTTTAATCAAGGCGCAAGAGCGCGAGCCCGTTTCCAGGCCATGCAGGCTGGGGATGATCACCCAGGAGTCTAGCACTCTGGGGTGACAATGACCCAGAGTTACATGTGATTTTCAGGGGAAACCCTGGGTGACACTGTGAAACTCTGGGGAAAATCGACGGAATGTGTGATTATTGGAGACGGAGAATGTGATTTGATTTGATTTGATTATGGCGGAGATGACACCACTGAGATTTCGGCGCTACTAAACGATGATGAGGATGGAGAAGACAAAAAGGCTGCACGAGGAGTTAGAGGCGAGGTACTGAGCATTGGTGTCACTGCCGGCGTTGCTTTGCTATGCCGATGACACCTCGCGTTTGGTGTTTGACCTTGTGTCTTAAGGAGGAAGCACCTTGAAGATAAGTCGCGACCTATGTTTGAAGAAGCCTGCGGGAAGAAGTGAGCGAAACCCTGGAAGTCAACGGCATCTACGTCGAGCTCAACAATGATGTACGCCGTGTGCTTGTGTAGCCTGGCCATGGTTCACCATTTCGGAGCATTGCCCTTTTTTATGGACCTGGACCAGGAGGGGCGGTTGACCCGAGGTGGTTCTCAGTTTTTCGCCGACGACATGCCATTCTAGTAATGAATTGGAGCTTGTGTTGGACGACAAGTGGCGGATGACTTGGATACGGCGCGGCTGTACCCATGTGGCATGGATGGCGACTGTGGGAGAGAAGTGATTTCTCGGGATGAATCCAGCGCCTGACCACAGATGGGCCCAACTGGCTGGAAGTGTGAATCCTGGGAGTGCACGCCCAGGATTTCAGAGAACACTCAGTCCAGCCGCGGACTTTCCCTTACGATGAGTGCCTAAAGTCTGGCGGAAAGTGTCTCTGGCGAATGTATCCCAGAGTACAAATCATCTTGCTGTGGCTCAGAGTGCCCCAGAGGATCAAATTACCCTGAGAATCAACCCACTACCACCATGATCATGCACAGGAGGCCGCTAAACCCGCTAAAAGCTTGGATTTGTGGAGATACACGCGAGTCTGTGATGTAGCAGACTTGTAACCCAGAGTGCCGCACGATGACCCAGAGTTCACCTCCCTGAGTGCAGGTGACCCAGCGTTCCAAAGATGATTCTCTGGGTTTGGACCATAACTCCAGACTCTCTATACTAAACGCAAGTGTTTCCCAAGCCAACATCCAAGAATCCCCACAGTTCCCCAAAGATTCCTCAAATTCCCCAGGATTTCAGAAGATGACCCTGAGTGTCACATGATTTTCAGGGATTCGAGTCAGTTCGAAGTCAGTCTGCAAGCAAAGTGATGCGTGGCCTTGAAGAACCGTCGTGGATGCGCAGACTGGATACTTTCGAGGAGTCGAGAGGGAGTCCTGCGCCATACTAGACCAAGTCCAAGGACCCACAATTGGCACTTTCGACGCCGTGCAACAATGGAGTCGCAAGCCGATCCCAAGTTTGGACCGCTGAACCCAAGGTATACTCAAGACAAGACGTTTGACCCCAAGCATAGTGAACAGAAGATATTTGCCCGAAGAAGAATGCAGAAGAGAAAGAAGTAAGAGAGAGAGAGAAGTAGCTGGTAAAAGACAAACAGAGTTCTGAGGCGAGGCCGATGAAACCTTTGTCGCCCAGGGGGGTTCGTATAGCGCAGCCCAAGACTGTTCCCCAGGGTGTAGACCCAGAGAATAGACTTGAGAGTCAACAGCAAGAAGATAGACCCAGAGATTCGCAGCCGCAAAGCTTTAAACCCTGAGAATCACAGTCCTTGGTTGGCGTGGGTACCTTGTGTAATCCCTGTCGGCTCGTTTGTATTCGACGGAACGGCACTCCACCGGTTGTAAATGTAGCCTCGAAGAAGTGCGGGAGTGCACGTCTACTTCAGAACGCACCTCCACACCAAAGGCAAACCCAGAGAATCAGATCCCCCGAAACCCAGAATATCACGAATTCAGGGTCCAGGATTTCAGTCAACTCCGGGACTTGGAACTCAGAAGACACCTTACCCAAATGCCCTCCTAGCTCGATAAAACCAACAAATACAGAGTATACAAACACTACAACTAGCCGTCACTTATTCTTTTGGACCCTTGGACGGTGGGTCACACTCACACTAGGCTCACTCGAGTCTGAAATTCAGGGGCCTAGCTCCCCTGAGACTCACACAAACGCGCACCACCTCCAATAAAGGAGGGAAATACAATCACTATCAGTTACCTTTCCTTCACACAAGCAGTCAATGCACAATCCTGGAGGCGACTACCTAGCACCCCAGAATACCCTCTGGAATAATATGAAATGGGCTACCACGAGCACAGCAAGTGACCCAACTAGGATATGGAATAGATGGATCACCCCAGGAAGCTCAAGGCCGTCGCTGGTCCCCACCTAACTGGACTTGAGTTGATGGAGCCCACACAGACGGCTGTCCTTCGCCGTTGATGTGCCCTTAGCGTCCCGCGGCCGTAGTCTCGGGTCCTCCGGATTTCCGTCGGCAGGCTTGGCCAAAGTCACTTGCGCAGTACAGGGTAAAAGGAATTCTGTTTGTCTTTTATCAGCTACTTCTCTGTCTATCTCTTACATCTTTCTCTTCTGTATTCTTCTTCGGGCAAATATCTTCTGTTCACTATGCTTGGGGTCAAAGGTCTTGTCTTGAGTATACCTTGGGTTCAGCGGTCCAAACTTGCGATCGGCTTGCGACTCCATTGTCGCACGGCGTCGAAAGTGCCAATTGTGGGTCCTTGGACTTGGTCTAGTATGGCGCAGGACTCCCTCTCGACTCCTCGAAAGTATCCACTCTGCGCATCCACGACGGTTCTTCAAGGCCACGCATCACTTTGCTTGCAGACTGACTTCGAACTGACTCGAATCCCTGAAAATCATGTGACACTCAGGGTCATCTTCTGAAATCCTGGGGAATTTGAGGAATCTTTGGGGAACTGTGGGGATTCTTGGATGTTGGCTTGGGAAACACTTGCGTTTAGTATAGAGAGTCTGGAGTTATGGTCCAAACCCAGAGAATCATCTTTGGAACGCTGGGTCACCTGCACTCAGGGAGGTGAACTCTGGGTCATCGTGCGGCACTCTGGGTTACAAGTCTGCTACATCACAGACTCGCGTGTATCTCCACAAATCCAAGCTTTTAGCGGGTTTAGCGGCCTCCTGTGCATGATCATGGTGGTAGTGGGTTGATTCTCAGGGTAATTTGATCCTCTGGGGCACTCTGAGCCACAGCAAGATGATTTGTACTCTGGGATACATTCGCCAGAGACACTTTCCGCCAGACTTTAGGCACTCATCGTAAGGGAAAGTCCGCGGCTGGACTGAGTGTTCTCTGAAATCCTGGGCGTGCACTCCCAGGATTCACACTTCCAGCCAGTTGGGCCCATCTGTGGTCAGGCGCTGGATTCATCCCGAGAAATCACTTCTCTCCCACAGTCGCCATCCATGTCACACGGGTACAGCCGCGCCGTACCCAAGTCATCCACCAATCAGCATCCGATATAAACTCCATGTCCAAAGGGTGACGGCACATCGTCGGCAATTTTCTGGGGACCGCCTCGTGTCACTCCCGTCGATCGGCACATTCGTGCCGGTTACCACCGTGCCCTTGCCGTCGGCCGCTGTCACCAGTACCGTCGGGACGCCCGTCGTGCACGCCGTATCACCGTCCATTACCACAGTTGCTGGTCGCAGGGGAGTCCGTCGCATTGCCAAGCGCCGTGATCCCCCTACGTCACCCGATCCTCGTTTTCCTGTCGCTTCCTTTCCTGTTCGCGTCGAGCGAGATACTCGTCGTTACGGGCGCGAACTTCGGCATCTGGACACTCGCGGGCGAAGTGCCCCAGTTGATTGCAGGCATAGCACTTGAGTTCGCTGAACCGTCCTGGTGTCGGAGTCGCCTCGACCGTCTTCCTCGTAGCCTCCGTTGCTTTGACTTAACGCGTCGCAGCTTTCGATCGTCTGGCTGCGAGCTTCACCTTCTTGAGAGGCGGCGGTGCTCGTGGAGCATCTGCTTCCTTACCGTCATCGCTCTCGTCGTAGTAGTCAGGGCCAGCCGTCACCACCATATTCACCTTCGCCTTCTGAGCCATCTTTGTCGTCGCCATGCGCTTGGCGGTCGTTGGGGCAGCTGCTGGTGCCGTACATTTTCGTGGTACGGGCGCCCACATGTGCCCGTTCAAGACGCGTCCCTTCGGCGCCTCCCACAGGCCATGGTACTTGTTGTACTCGCCGCATGAGTTCGTGAAACACGCCAACTTCTCTTCCTCCGCCACGTCCGTGGTGCCAACGCCCAGAATCAGCGCCATCTGTCCAGTCGTCCCACACGCGCGCACGACGTACGTATCAGGTGCGATAACGAACGCCTGACCGATGTGTTCCATGCCTTGCGCCACGTTGTCAATTGGATCGTTGATTTCCGTTGCCTTGTCCACCGCTTCTTCCAGCGTCGTTGGCTTCGGGCGCTGCTTCATAAGGACTCTCGTCGTGTGGTCTAGGCTGGGGTAGAACTGTGCGAGCAGCATACGTTCTCGGATACGGTTGTTGCCACACAGGTCACGAAGGGCAGCGGCGAAATCCGCATACGTCTCACCTGGCATCATTCGGTGTTGGCCGACACGCCACTCGGCCATTGCTTTATCCAGACGCTAGCTGTAGCGTCGCAGTAGAGAGGACTTCAATTTCGTCCACGTTCGCTCACGGTCGCGGAGCTTACGGTCCAGCTGGACCCACCAGCGGGCATCGCTGTATTGTAGCTTGTTGCCTATGATGTAATACAATTCTTGGTCAGTCCATTCGCCTCGTCCTGACTGCCGTGCGCCTTCAAGCGCTAGATCCACACACGCGATCCAGGTCGTAACAGATGTCTGTGGCGTCGGTAGGAACGTTGGCAGGTCCAGATCGCGGATGACACGGCGTCGGTTCCGATGGAAGTCTCGATCGCCTGGCCTCGTGACGGGTTGGCGCCGTAGGCGGCATCTTCCACCTTCGCGGCCGTCGTCAGAGTCGTCATTTCCGTCAGAGCTGCTCGACGATCCGTCGTCGTCGTCGTCGTCGTCGTCGTCGTCGTCGTTGTCACTGTCGTCTTCGTCGTCATCACCATCACGTGACTGGTACGCCACCTGCCGATCCGTTGTTGCTAACGGAGCAATCCGTGGTGCTGCCGGCGGTGGTGCCTGCCGCGTGGTCAGCGGCGTGGCCTGCTGAGCCGTTGGATTCGTCGGGGTCACCAGTTGCTGCGACTGCTCCGCCGTAATCACGTGCGTGTCGGTACCCGTAGGTGCAGGGGACGGCGCGAGGTTGGCCACCGGGGTGCTCAGCTGGTCCAGCCTTGCTGGTCATCGTCTCGCCATCTGCTGCAGTGCGGCGGACAGCGCTGCTACCGGAGCCATCGCTGCGCCGTCGTCGTTTGTTACGCGGTGCCGTCACTAAAATTTGGGTCATGGGACCAAAACCCGGGAATTGCCCATATTGTGGAGTTCGCGGATTGGTGGAAATGTGTTGGTCAAGAATGATGATCACGGTACCAGATAAGTAGTACATTCTTGGAACCCGACAATCGTGCCTGGGATTCTGAGAGTTCGTGCGGGACTTGGAGCCGAATAAAACAAGAGTATGTTTGTGGCAGACGTGAGACCCCGGAGAGCAGGTCGGCGTAGGCGAATGGATCCCGTTCCTAGAAGTGCACAGGAATGTGTGCGACCTTCCCTACAAATCTGCGCGAGGCGGGACTCGACTCTGGGTTACGACCTGGGAACTGAGGCACTTCTCAGATTCCCCGTCGTTTTCCCAGAATAACGACTCCCAACGTTCTTGTCCTCAGACTTACTTCCCACAAAAGTCCAAGAACAGCCTCTGTGCGAGGCGTTTCAAGGCTCCAAACCCAAGAACACTTGGTTTCACTATGGCATCTTCCAAGATCCGAGGTGTACCCAACAACTCCGAGAAGGTATCCAGTTTGGCACCCCTTCAAGGCCAGACCTACACTCCGCAGAAAGATCGCAGTCCCCGAGAGTCGCTTAGGAAAGATTTTTTCTGCATGTGACCTTTAACCAAACAGAGTTCGTTTTGCTTCGAAGGGCACAAGTGCTTCTTTCACAGCCTGGAAGGCCGTTCTCCACGACGAAATTCAAAGTACTTTAGGTAAGTGATCCACTGCTTTGGCCTGGAGGTGATCATATCTATTCCATATCTGTATATTTGGCGGATTACATACCGTCTTTGTTGTATATTTTGCGGTCTATTGGGCCTGTGTCGAACTGAAGAAGTTGGCGACAGGGTAGATCGTTTCCTCTCTTCGAGAGGTGGTGCGCGTCCCCGAGATTGATCAAGTGTCTTGGATTTGGACCCGTTGACTTGTGTTTTGGCCTTATCCTTGGGCCTAGAGAAAGAAGAGAGGGCAAAGAAGTATTTGTGTGATTGTATAACGTGTATAACTCTATTTGGGTTGGATTGTTCTAGCGTTAGCCCGGCGTAGCTGTCTGATTCACGGGGTCGATACTAACCTCCTGGTGAAAAGAACCGCTACCCAAGGGATACACATCGTGCGCCTGACCAACAGCGTGTACTGGACAACACACACCCTGTGCCAGCCGAGACGGATCCAAAGCTCTAGTAGCCTGAGGTCTGTCAAGGAGGGCCTATAACAGTTTTCTGGGAGAGAACACCGCATCGCCTCGTCACATGTTGCCGCTGGCAGCTGCGTCGGGTGGCGCGTCTTGCGCGTCGCTGCCTCGTTCGTCGCTCGGGTTCTGCGTCGCCCGGTTCGTTTTCCTTCGTCCTCGGCCTCTTTTTGATTTCTTTGTTGCCCAAGATTAGATTCTCCAACAGCTGCGGGAGCCGTCGTCGCCTGATTCTGATCCGTCGGCTGATTCCTCGTCGCTCGTTTCGGGGTCTGCACGACGACCTCCACAACCTTCGCCCTTGTCATCTGAGCGTCCTCCGGTGTCTTCGTGAGTCGAGGGCTGCGTCGAATGCCGCGGGTGACAATCGCATCGAGGGTCGAGTTGCGTGGAGTAATCTGGCATAACCGGGCCATTTTTAATTGAGCTTCAGCTTGTGTAATGTCCATCCGTGTTGTCAAAGTGTTGCAACGTGTTGTGAGCCCCACACGCTTGGAGTTTGGTCGCGACTGTGGTGAAGCAGTCCGAAGTCCGTCTGGCCGTCAGTGTCCAAGCGTAAGACACTGCGCTGGTGCGTTCCCGACTGGCAGCACACCTATTTTATTTAGGGGAACTAGTACGATGTCAACCACCGACTAACTACAATACACGCCTACGTTACGTGCACAACTTGAGTTCCGCTCGTGCGCCTGCTCTAGCCACTCGGGTGTACGCCCACACGCACATACCCTACTCGTCGCAGCCTTCAAGAGACTTGGAAGCCACGTGCCTCCTAGTTCGTCACTTCGTTGCCGTACTCGTCGCTGCATCCGTCCACCGAGGTTGTCGTCAGCGTCCACCGCCGCTCGTTCACTTTCCGTCCGTCCGTCCGTCGCTTGTTGTGCCTGCTGCCAGACCGTGTCCGTTCGGTCTGTTCGCTGGCCGTCCAAATCTAAAGTGAGCTCCGTCCTGGTGCTCACGGAGTCCAGAGGTCTCGAGGTCCTCGAAGATCCCGTGCAGCAGATCCTGTCGACCACGCGGCCGACTGGATTCATGTCCTACGCCGCCGCTGGCTTCCACGTCGTCAGCCGGCGTCACATCTGCTGCCTCGTACTCTGCCGAGCCACCTGCCACCTTACAGTGTCCACAAGGACCCTGAGCCAGTGCAACTCGAGCAAGCGAGGCAAGGCGCCGCGGAGGACTGCCCCGAACGGCTACAGTAGCAGCCCGATCTTTGTGAAATAAATCAACTCGATGACGTTGAAGCAGCGTGGAGCGAATCCACGTTGGCTCGGGCCTCGGTGCTCAATTTGCCGTAATAGCATCCCCCTGATCTGCAACGTACGGATACCTTGCGCTTGCTAACGAACGAGTAAATAGCTCCTGTCTCGGGACGGAAAAGAAAGGCTCAACGCATTAGAGCCGGCACCAAGGACGAGATTGAGAGCAACGAGTCTTGGGGTCGCGAATTTACAGATAATGGTACATCAATAGACACGAACAGATCAACAGCATAAACAAGCCGACAACACTATCCAAAACCCCACCGCATGGTACACCAGTGTGCAGATTGCTGGCGGCTAGTAGACGTAAGGGTCTTTCTCGCGCATTCCGAGTGATGCAGGCGCGTCATACCATGTCTGCTGCCTGTCTGCTCCAGTCATCAATTCTGCGGACACATTCGGGCGACACCAAGCACCAGGCGGCCTCTCAAGCTAGCCGGCGTTGCCGACCTGCCCGAGTGCGATGCTCCCGCCGCTGGAGAGGAGTAAACTAAGAGAGTGCTGTAATGAGAATGAATACGTGAAATTTCGCTGGGAATATTTTTGCTGTTCGGCTGTGTGTGCCAAAAGGGATCGTCCGTGCATCATATGCCCTGGGGAACACGATATGGTTGAGCGCCGACTCGTAGCGAAACCTGTGAGAGCAGCACGGGGCCGATAAAGTGCCCTACGCGCTGGAAAGTTCATCACGGCCCCGTAGGCTCGAAGTGATCATCGTAAGCAACGGAGCAACTCATTTTCGTGGAGAGATCGAATGCGCGGTGCCGCCTAGGCCTAAGGTTACAGAGGAGATGAAAGAATACATTCATCGCATGGACGAGAACGCTGTGCCCCCTCGTCTCATCTGGAGCAACTTACTGCGCGCACCCGAAGTGTCGAAGCCAGTGCTAGGCTACCCGTCCTACACCCAAGTTCCGCGCAGTGTGAAGCATATACGATGGCTACAAGGAACAAAACACTCGATTATTCTCACTACGGAGCTGGTACGTTCAAAGGCGTTCGTGGCAGACATTGATCCCGACACAGCTTTCGTTTTTGGGAATCGTGAAGATCAAGATGGATTTCCTTTTGTAGGCAATGGAGAAGATGATGAACCTTTGATTTTGGGAATCACGACGCGAAAGCTTATGGAACAGATAAAGGCTGTAACGGGGTTACACGAGAGTTACCCGAAGGGTTATGAAGTGGGTACACACTGGCTAACCTAAATCAGTAGGAGAATCAGTACACGGATTCAGAGCCACTGATTATGCATATGACTAGGGTTCACTATGCTAGGTAGTGAACCGGATACATTTACACCGTAGGCGGTTTGGCCACGATAAAGGGAAATACATGCAGTTTGAGATTCACGGTTAAGAGTTAAGGGTTGACTCTTGGAGTCCGTAAGGTGTACGGACTCGTACGTTCTGGTATTAGAACGAGCTATCTTAAGCTGAGACTCTGTGAGTCTGTTAAGCTTCCTCTGACGCAAAGCTACGGCAGCCCCGCTGCACTTGGTAGCACTTGTAGTCAATCCGACACCTGAGTCTGTATAGACTGACCCTCTGTGGCGAATGGAGCAGTTCGCTCACTTGCCCCCGAACCAGCAGGATGCGCTTAAAAAGCTTATGTCCTTGCTAGGCCCGGAGGGCGTGACACAACTTGCGCAACAAGACCCCGACGCGGTGAACGCGCGTCTCGAGGCGTTTTCAAGCTACGAGAATGCTCTGCTAGAGCACCTCCAGCAGAGGATGGCGATGGCCGCGGCGCCCCAAGCGCCCGCTTCGTCATTCGACGCGGGAACAAGACCCAAGCCGCTCATGTTGAGCGTGAAGACCTTCGAAGGCGAGGAGGGTGAAAGCTTGATGCTTTGGACCCGTGAGGTTGAGATGGCTATGAGCTCAGCTCTACTCCGGACGGAGTCGCAGCGCGTGGCACTAGCTATCTCGAAGCTCGGTGGGCGAGCGAGAGAGTGCGCACTAACGTCCGGGACGTCGGTCGAGGTGGCCTTCCCGACGTGGGATCAGCTGAAGCAGCAATTGTCCCGAGTGTTTGCTCTGCCTAACGAGGCGTATCGCGTGCGCTCACGCTTCCTGGCGACCAGGCAGAGCAAGAAGGAGTTGATGGACTATGTCCAAGAGTTGAGAACTCTCATTGCTGGTATGTCTGCGGACCCCTGCCGGAGGCAGTCACCGTTACAGTGTTCATGGAGGGCCTCCGCACTGGCGTTGCCAGGACGGAGGTGTTCCGAACCCACCCGAGCTCTTTTGAAGAGGCTGTGAGCATCGCATTGAATGCGGAGCACAACTTTAAGTCGTCGAGACTTGGGTGGAATGCGTCTTACGCTAGCGCGTCGAGTGGTCCGGAACCCATGGACATCAGCTATGCTGAAAACGAAGAAGCCGAACTTCGTGCTGCTGAGCAGCGTCGCGGTATCCACAGATGCTTCATCTGTGGTGACACCCGTCACCTTCGTGCTGGGTGTCCGCTGCGCCATCAGCGCCAGGCTTCGTCAAGCCGATCTTCGAGTTCGAGCCAGGGCTCTGGTTTGTCTCGGGGAAACGAGAAGTCCCAGTAGGAGCGGGGCGGCCTACTGGGGAAGAACTAAGTTCTATTGAGCCTCAGCGAGGTGGAGGTCGACAGGACTTAGCCCCGAAGAGAGCCGTACTCTCTAACACGGAACGTGTATGCAAGCCGGGCTTGCTAGTTGTCCAAGCTTGGGTGAAGGGATTCACAAAGCCACGGACGATTTTGATCGATTCGGGAGCGTCGGGTAACTATGTCGGGCGTTCTACGATGGACGGAAGTCAGCTTTATGCTGAGGCGCTGGTAGCGCGCGGTAGTGACATCGTCACTGTTCGTCTCGCGACGGGCACTCGTGGCACGGTGCCTAAGATCCCTGTGGACCTGGGCGTGAAGTTTTTGGACTTTGATAGCGTGGAACGCTGTCTGGTCTTAGGCCTCGATTCGAGATATGATCTCATTCTTGGTATGGTGTGGCTGGAACGCCATGAGCTTTGGATCGATTGGAGGTCGAAGACCCTTGGTGCTACGCACTTCACTCCTGGCGGAGCATTGGCGAGTCATGAACCCACCTCTGCTAGGAAGCAGAAGCGCTTCTGGCGCGAGCACTGGACCGAGTCGGTCAATGTGCTGGACATCGGAGTTTCCGAGTTGGTGGGCACTGAGTGTGTCGAGAACGAGCGTTCCGAGCGTGGCTCGCGGACGGCAGGTGGAGCGGCACTAATTCCGCTGAGCGGGCGTGCGTCTGAGGGCTACGCCCTGCTGCGTGCCAGCGACGGCGCGGTCGGCACGATGCCGAAGAACCAGGGGATTTGCCCGGATGAAGATCGTGGAGTGGCACGTAATCCACTGAGTGGAGGCTGCGGATCGTGCAGCTCTTCGCTGAGTGTCGATAAAGACACTGGAGCTCCCCTGGAGCTGAACGAGGTGGTGACACCTGGCGTCAAGACGCACGCGAAATCACGGAGCTCTTCAGGGCGGACGGTGTCCATGAAGAGGAGGCAGCGCCGCAAAGCGCTGGCTGCGAGACGCAAGGCGTCTGCGATCTCACGAGTCGAGAAGGGCGTGTCGAGCGGTGAGGCTCCACGCGAGAGCGAGCAACTCTATGCACTCGTGAATGGAGTGACGGGCGACGTCGACGGAGGTATCAACCTCGACGATTTGCCCTCACTGTCTGCTCTCCTGGAGCTGGACGAGATGTCCTTGACCGAGTTCGGCGAAGCCTTGAAGGCTGGAGACTTGGCTGAGGTAGTGCTCATGCGACCCGAAGAAGAGGTGAACTCGTCCTCGCTTCTGGATGAAGCTGTCCTGGAAGATACCAAGAAGGCGCTGAATGGGCGGAGCGGATCGGCGATCCTGAAGGACTCGTCAGATCCCTTGTATCAAATGGTAAAGGATTACCAGGACGTGGTCTCGAAGGAGCCGCCCTCGGGGCTACCTCCGGATCGAGGTGTTTGACACGAAATCGATCTCGTTCCGGAACGAAGTACTGCGTGACGAGGCAGTGGCCCTTACCGAAGGAGCGGTGTGACGTCATTGACGCGTTCTTCCGTGCGAAGCACGAGGCGGGCATGGTGCGTGAGAGTAAGTCTCCACACTCTACCCCGACGGTCTGCGTCAGAAAGCCGAATGGCAAGTGGTGTATCGTGCATACTTTCAACAAGCTGAATGCCGCTACCATTCCGGCGCAGACGCCGATCCCTCGGAAGGATGTTCTTCAGAACAACATGACAGGATGTACGATGTACAGTGCGCTCGACTTGGTCGATGGATATTACCAATTGCTCATGAGGACGAGCGACATTCCTCTCATTGCGGTGAGTACTCCGAGCGGCATGCTCTGGGAGTGGTTGGTGATGCTCCAAGGACTTTTGAACGCGCCAGCGACGTTTAATCGTCTGGTGACGCAGCTCTTCAGGCCCCATCGGGCGTACGCGCAAACGTACTTTGATGACATCTTTGTCCACAGTCGTGCGGAGCACGGAAATACTGATATGGAGAACCATGTCGAGCACCTGCGTGCTGTGCTCGAATGCATGCGTCAAAACAAGTTGTACGCCAACACTGACAAATGCATCTTCGGAGCGGAAAAGATGCCCTTCTTAGGGTGCTTCTTTGGGAAGCGTGGCCTGAGGGCCGACCCGGTCAAGGTCAAGGCCATTGTTGACTGGCCGGTTCCCAATAACCAAAACGATCTTCGCAAATGGCTTGGCTTGGCCAATTACTTGCACAAGTACAGCGAGAACTACGCTGAGATGGCTCGGCCA